GGCTCTTCCAGTGATGACTTAAACCAAGTGCTAATCTCTGTACACTGCAGAGCTCTGGGCATTTTAACCCCTCTGTAATACAGTTATTTGTTTCTCTCTGTACACTCTTCTTTCTCCCATGAATGCAGTTCAGCTGCTCACATGCCACGTGTGCCAAGCAGACAGCTCCTGTCACCAGTCCTTTTTCCTTTGTTCAAGTCAGAATCCATTGAAAATATCACCTTCAATTTCAGAACTTCTTCTTTGGTGTGGGAGAGAGCATTCCCTTCCAAGAGGGAATTCAGTTCTCTCCTGAGAACTGACTCTTCCTACAGAACAAAGCAGCACCTCTCCCACTGCCCTGCTGGCATTTGCAGGCTGTAATTTACACTGATCATTTCAGGCACCGCAGGTATTTTTTTCTCTTTTTTTAGGTTTTGCACAGACACAACAGGAAGCAAGGCTGGGGCTGTGAGACAGCAGTGGGGAGGCAGTGGTGGGGTCAGGATTAGTTCCTCAGGGTCCCTGGGGTGCCTGCTCATGTGCAAGTACATGTGCTGTCTCTTCACTTCCCTGGTCTGGAGACCACTGTTCATCTCCAGGTGTTCACCCTCTCCAGTGTTTCATATTGGAGACCACATGTGGAGTGTTTGGCTTCTTGTGGCCTCAGGGTCCAGCCTGGAAAATATCTGAAAGCTTCATCCTCAAGCCCAAAATGAGTTGGGATTTCTCCTGCTGCATCCCAGCCACCCACTCCCACTGATCTGGGGCTTCCAAACCTCTTCCATCCTGAGCAGGTGGGAGCGATGCTGTCCTGCGTGTGGACCCCCTGCCATCCTCTCTGCTGGCCTGTTCCCAGGGGTGATTCCAGCTCTGCTCATGCACACATCCAGCCCATGCACCTCAGGAGTCCTGGGGTCACCTGGCAGCCCTTCTCAGCACCTCTGGACCTGCCTTGGTCCAGGAGAGCAGAGCTGTCAGTGCTGCAGGTGAGGGTCACCAATGCTGTGGATAACAGCATATGGATAATGCTTTTTTTTTGCTGTGATGGCAAATATCTCACCTGATTTGTTTCAGGGCTTCACTTGCCTTTTTTTATGACTGGCAGCTGATGCCACACTGGCAGCTGATGGCCCAGAACTAATGCATCTGGGACCTCCTGCCACTTCCAGCAGCAAAGTAGCCGAAACTGCTGAATTCCAACATTGTGAAATTAAATCCTATTAAGTTTCCACTCCCCTCATCCAGGATGAACTTCAGTTTCCCTGTTGGTGTTTGTCTTTCCCTGCCATGGCAGCCTTTCTCAAGTCTTTGTCCATCATCAGTATCTTTCTGTTTTTATGTCAACTTCTTCTCAATGTATTAATCCCAAAGCTAATCTGGGAGATATTTTTCTAGAAATCTGCCTTCTGCCCAGTATTTCTCATTTAAGTGCCACCTGCTTTCTTGTTGCTTGCGACCTTTACAGCTCACCTTCTAAATTTCATCCTCTCTGACTGAAGAGGATGAAATCCTTGTTTCCTGTGCACTGTTGTCTCTCTTGCCCTGTGTGTATCTGGGTGAGGATCTACCACATAGGCTTGATCTACAGAAACAACTTATTTACAGACAAGTTTGCATGGGTATGAGCTGTGTCTGGTTAGTGCCGTGGTGATTTTCATTCTAAGTTATTTGAACCCACATGTTTTAATTGCTTTCTTTTCTTCAGACTGTTTTCTAAAGCCTGGGTAATGCTGATGTCAGCCTAGCAGGCTTGTTGCTGCCTGAATCTTGTCTCTAAGCCAAACTCTTCAATTCACACACTGGATTTGCTGTTGTGGTTGCAGAGAACCTCCCTCCTTTTTTAAGAGTCTGTGCAGCCAAAGCAGCATATTCTTTCACTTCTTCTTCCAGAAGTCTGGAACAGGCATGATCCAGTCTTTCCCTCACCTCACACATGTCTGGCTGTCTTTGCAATCAGCTAGTACACCTAAATATTCACAGCTTTAAAATCTATTCCCTTTTCCAAGGACAGCTGGCAAGACATTGAAGCCCCAGATCCTGCTGTGGTGTTGATGTCACACTGTAAGAGAGTGTCTTCAGCTGTGGTGGGACAGCACTGAAATCTGGGGTACAGGAGGAAAGAAAGGAAAAAGTGTGATCTCTTTTTAAGCTCCAAAAGAAAGTCTGAAAGCCCTTGTAGCACAGGAGACTCAAAAATGTCCCTGAGCTTCCTTTCAGGCTCATCTTAGTGATGATTTCTGCTCAGTGTCTCTGCCTTAGCACAGAGGCTTTGGTCTCGTGCTCCACATCACTCCTATTCCCTTGCCTCATACTTTGAAGATTTAAAGGACAAACGTGATACTTCCTTCTGCCTGTGTCAGTGAAAAGCACTTTAGATTTGGATCACAGACATGCACTGTGTTGATACTTCTCACCCAAACAGAGATCCTGCAGTTGCCAAGGTTGGTGTTTTTCCCCCTTTAGAAAGTTGATATGCCTTGGCTGAGTGATGTCCCTGCTTTCAGATGCAATTGTGGCAATGCTAAATTTCCAAGGATTACCACTGCCTGTGGTGGAATCTGGGAGCCTCAGTAACAAGCTATAAAGTCAGGAGAAAATCCAAGATGTGAAGATCTTGGCAGCTCCTCCACGATGGAATATCCTGCTGTACTCAGGGCCATGGTGCCAAAATGCAACACAAACCATTAACTCACTCACATGATACTCCCTCCTCAACAGTCTCATTTATTTCAGTATTCCTTGGCCTTCCCAAACTTTTTGGGAGTCCCAGGGGCATTCCAGAGATTGGTAAACCAAAAATGGGACAGGGAATGGGATGCCTGGCTTGCTCTCAGCATGAATGAGTGGAATAGGAGGGATGTGTAAATTCCAGCCAGCATCTGGCAGCAGGGAGGGCTGGGACAGGAGTGTGTGAGCAGTGATGCTGCAGGTGCTGGGGCTGGTGAGCAGGGGGTGACCACAGCTTGGGGTCACAGGGCAGGGCTGTGTTGGGTGTCAAAGGCTGATCGTAATGGGGTGGACTCCATTAAATCACTGTCTCCAGCCTGCTGCTGGCTCAGCCCTGGCCTGCCTACCACTGTGATCCCAGATGTTTTGGGGATGCTTTGGGTGCAGACAGCCTGGACTTGTCTCTGTTCACACACCTGCAGCTGCTCTGACCCAGCCTTATGGAGGAAGGACTCTCCATCCCATGGGACACTGCAGATGCTGCCCTTCTCATGCTGCATCTGCCCCAGGGCTTAACCCTGGCTCCAAAGCCACTATCCTGGCCCAGCCAGGATCCCAGCTGCTTTTCTCCTCGGGATGGTGCGTGTAGTGTGAGCAGACAGTTTCTGAGCGGGGAGACTTCCTGCAGTGGAGCCCTGTAGAAACCCAAAACCTGCTGCCAGGCCAGGCCTTGCTGTGGAGGGTTTGGCAGTGCCTGGGCAGGGATGGTGTCACCGCTTTGGAGCTCAGAGCTCAGGATGCAGCCAGTGCTGAGTGCTGGTGCCTTCCCCTGCCAGCTCAGCACTCCCAGCCTCCTCCAGCTGCACGGGAGCAGCCTGGCAGGGAACTTTTTTCCATTTTTTTTAATCTCTTCCTCTTTTTTCCTGGAACTCTGTACAGCAAGAGCATAGCAGGGATCCCAGGGGGTTTGCTGCTATCCAGAGAAGATGCCTTGTTCTCTGCCAGATCTTGCTCTGGGGAAGGGCTGGAGGAAATCCATTCTGCAACGTTTCTGCTGGGGCTGTTGGCAGGAGCCCTGTGAAGTGCAGCAGCCACTGGCCAGGCTGGTCCCTCTGAAGAAAAGAGGGCTGAATAGGTCAGAGCATGGCTGTGACCTGCCTGACCTCTGCTCCCTCCCTTCTTTGCTGCAGATTTGCCTTTTGTTGAGCCCAAAGAGCCTCCTACCAAGCCAGCACTCCTCCAGGGCTGTGACCTGACACTGCAGCAGGCACTGAAGCCGTTCCCTGGGACGTTTCCTCTCTGCCCTGTGCAGCACCAGCATGAGCTATTTGCATTTCTAACAGCCTTAAGTCAGCCTGAACCACCCAGGGTTTGCTTCTGTCCCCATGAGAAAGGTTCTGGCTGATGCACGTGTTAATCTCAAAAACAAATGCCTCCACATTGTTTGTACTAAATATAGGAGCAGTGTCTGCTGCAAGGCACTGCCAGCCCTCTGCAGGGTCACATCCAACAGGAGTTTATCAGCCCCAGCCCAAGGGGAAAGGGGCTCAAGTTCAGAGCTCTCTGTTTGCAGATGTGAGCTGCAGTGAGTGCAGTTTTCAAGGTCGATCTCATTCCCTGTCATTTGCAGAGGGCTGAGTCTTGAAATGTGAACCGGGGCTCCTCTGGGATGAGCATGTCAGCCTAGCACTGTACGTTGGACTTTCTGCTTATCTCTCACTGGCACAGATGCTATTTCACCCTCCTGTGGGGTAACTGATACAGAGCATTGAGGAAGAAACTGTACCTTCTTCTCTTGAGTCACATCTTGATCAATGCAGCGCTGCAGGAAGTGTCATTTCCACCAACGCGCAAGCGTACAGGCACTGCTGATGAAATTTTGTGAGGTCAGGCCGTCATTTCCTCCCTAATTACAGCTCCAGGAATGAATAATGTTTAGCTGAGACTCTGGTGACTCTGTGCTTTGGTGCAGTTTTCATTTAAGCAAAATGCAAGCATGTCGAAATGAACACAGGGTCTGGATTTTTCCTTCTGGTTATTTTGGTTGTACGGATGCCATCTGCGACTTGTGTAACAAATGTGGGGCTGTTTGGTGACGGTCAGTGAATGAAAAGATCCGGAGCCCCAAACTGTCATGCAAAAAGCTTCTGTTAGAAACCTTCACGTTGCCAGAAATGTCTAATGGCAGATGATTTTTCCAGGAACTTGGAGGACTGGAAGAGCCTCCCAGGCCACAGTCTTCTGAACAATATGTCCTATCTTCCCCTTCAGAAAAAAACCAGAATTCTCCATTTTAAAACTCATGGTGTGATTCCTTCTGTGGAAGCCAACTCCAGGGCTGCACAACCCCCATGGTTACAAACCTTGTAATGTGGAAATTGTCGTGGCATCCTCTGCCAGTGGAGAGAGTCAGAGCCAAGCAGCAGAGGGTGGGTGAGTGGTGGGAGAGCTGCTTGGAAGTGTTGCTGCAAGGGAGAGCCTGTGCCCCTGCCACGGCTGGTTCCATGTGTTGTGTTTGGGATATCCAGGCCTCATGGTTCTGCCCCCACTCTGCTGGAAACAGGTCCCTGAGGGCACCTCAGAGGCTGAGCTGAAGCAGATGCTTCCTAGCGTGGAAGGGGTTGCATCCCTAAATAATTTATGAGCAGAAGAACTTTGGCAGCTGTCACTGATTGGGTTTCTGGTGCTGCACTTGTGGCTGGCCACATCCAGCCTTGGGTTTGGTGCTGCTGCAAATGGACCTCCAAAATGAAACAGCTGATCTGCAGGGCAGGGAGGGCAAGGGCTGCCTGGGTGTCTGTCTGCAGCTTCAAACACCAGAGGAGATGCTGCTGGTTTAGAAGGGATGGAAAAAAATATAAAAAGCAAATAAGAACTTCAATTGATTTACTGGTCAGACAAATCACCTGATCAATTTGTGTGCTCCTGTTTGTGTCTCTGAGGCTGGAAGTGCAAGCCCTGAGCCTGTGGGGGCTCAGCACAGAGCTGCCAGTGTTGGATCTGCCCTTCATCTCTGCCAAGCACAGACCCAGTCTCACCCCTCACAGGGCTGTGGCAATGCTGGCAGGGTCCTGTCTCCTCTGGGTCATTCCCTCAAACAAACAGCCTGGACAAAGTGGCATTTCCCAAAAGCATGTGGATCAAACTTTACCTAGTTGTTCTTGAAATTGTAATTGTTACCTTTGTTTATAGTGTTTTATTTGATAAAAAATAGGTCTGGATCTTTTGAATCCTAACTGCAGATTTTGTTACAAAGTGGGAGGGAGGAGCATTGCTTGAGCATCACTTCCAGAGCAAAATGGGTTTGTCTCTTCTTGGGAGAGGTTGTCTTATCCCAGCTTGGGCATCTAAAGAGAAGGCAAGGGAAGCAGATCCTTCCAACCCCTCTGATTTTCCTCTCTCCTTTTTCAGCCTCTGAAGATCTGAGATCCACCTGGCAAGGCAAGGCTGGTCGCAGCCCACTCCAGGCCCTGTATGAGAGTGACCAGGTAAGGGGGCAGGGACAGAGAAATGCTGGGGTGAACATTGAGTGGGGCACTGAGTTCTGACCCTTTCTTCCACTTCTCTGGTGTGTGGGACACTGTGCCAGCTCCAGCCACCCCCTGGGTCCTTGCAGCTGAACCTCTGACTGAGTCTAAAAGACAAGACCACACTGCTTGGGGGTGTAGCTTGATAAACACTGCTTATGGCCCTTGCTGGTGCTTGGGTAAATGCTTTAATTACCAGTGGGATGAGCCATAGCTGGGCAAACCTGGGAGACTTTGCCATCTGATCATTTCAAAGCCAACTCTGTGCCATCATAGTTGGGCAAGAGCTTCATTGCTGCCCTTCCTGAGCTAATAATTGACAGATGTTTCTGTGTTAGCTGCTATATGTACATGCACACACATAGGAATATGCACATATATATGTGTGCATAGATATAGCTGGACTCAGCCATGGGGAATTTATAATCCTGGAACATCTCAGGCCTCTCCATCACTCTGAGCTGTGCCAGCTACACCTGCTGAGAAATGAGCAGCCAGGCACAGCCTGGGCAAAGGATCACTCCCCTCCAGTTGGGCTTAGTGGGTCCCTCCCTGTGCAGGAATCAGGGAATGTGTCCTGCTTGTCCCTCACAGTGGGGCTTGTGATCAGAGCTGTAAAATGTCTTTGTTTCTTTCTGCTGCATTTCCCCCCTGGGCAGGCAGTTTTCCCCTAATTCAGCCCCACTTCCCTTTGCAGAGGGATCTTCACCCACAACTTCCCTGAAGGAAGTCCTGTGGGAAACCACCCTCCAACGGGTGCCATGCCACGTGCCCAGCCACCAAACGTGCCCTGCATCTCCCTGTGTCCATGGGGCTGTCCTCTGCTGCAGCACCAGGAGCAGAGGGCAGTGCTGGTGCCCCTCAGTGGGCTGCCATCCCTGCTGCCTCCCCATGCAGCCAAAGTCAGCTCTTCCCGCAGGTTTTGCTCTGTGTTAAGGTTGATGCTGTTATGTCTGTAAGCAGCCAAAGTACATTTGCTCTCTGAAAAATTACAAATATGGACTCCCTTGGCCGTGATGCCAGCAAAGCCTGGCGCTGCTGAAATGTCGTGGTGCTATTTCCTTAAAAGTGATACTTAATTTCCCTGGCTTTTAAAGAGAAGGAAATGAAGGGAGCAATTTTGCTGTGAAATAACTGCAAGACATGCATTTATTCCAGTGGGCGGCTGCTGAAAAGTAGTCACATTTATTTGTTGCCATGCCTGCAGACAGTGTCTGTCTGTCCGTCTCTCTGCTCCAATAATTTTGAATTATGCAAGTGCAGGGAAAAACACCTGAAAAAATCACATTATTAAAATGCCTCTTTTCCAAAGCCCTTGCAAAAAAGGTTTTCCAGTTCTAAAAGCTGACTGGGAAGCTCCAAACAAAAGGAATTTCTGCTGAAAGGTTTGGCTGTGTTGCAAGGCAGCATGAGAATGCTTCTTCAGCTGTGGTTATAATCTCCCTAGGTGCTGTATTTTTTTTGTAACCTCGTAGCCAGCAATGTCAGAGTCATACCTTGCTGGCAGTTAGCATCTGTTCACCTGAATTTCCTTTGTTTTGGCATTTTCCCTTATCATGTCTTTGTTAGAAGGAGTAAGGATGGGATGCTTTCTCCTGTCCCTGTTTCACATTACTGCCCATACAGGTTCCTGGAGGAAGTGGTCACTAAGGTGACCTGGATGAGGTTATTTCCTTTGTGGAAATAAGATCCAAAAGAGTCTTGAGTGTGGTTCATTCCTTGCAGAAGGAGCTGTTTGCCCAGGTGTTAGTGTCTCTCTGAGGATGACAGATCTGCTGGATCACCCACAGTTTGCTTTAGCAAATCCCAGCTCCTGGCAGGAGCTTTACAAGCACTTACAGCTGCCCCTCCAAACACCTTGTAAGCCCCCAGGGAGCAGTGAGGGAGTGCCTGAAGCCTGGCCAAGTGTCAGGATCTTTAGCTTGTCAGAGTGACTCCGAGAAGAGTTAGAAAGTCTCTTTACCCAGCCCAGAGCTTGAAGAAGGAGTCAGAGCTCCTCATTTCTTGGTATGAAGGTTGTTTATTGTATCTTGTCTGTAAAATTCTTTCTCCTGCCCTGCTGAGGTCCATCCAGCAAGACAGTTCCAGGCACTCTGCCTCCCCCCTGGGTGGTGTTATGTCTTTATACTAAAAACTACATGTACAATGTTTACAATTACTTTCCAATACCTATCACCTGTGTTAGACAGTCAGCTTCTACTCTAAACCAATCTTTAAGTGCCAACATCACAGCAGAAGATGGAGGCCAAGAAAAAGAAGAAGGAGAAAGGCTGGACATGCCCAGATCCCTCCATCTTGCCCCCCTGAGTCCCTATTCTAGAAACCCCAAAATCTACTTTTTCACGTGATAAATTCACTATCATTCTACTTAATTTGTCATGGCTTGCAGATTTTCATCTAAGGTCAGTAACTTGCTCCACGGGTCATAGTCAAAACCACAGGGGCATCTTGGGCTCTGTGCCAAGGTCTCTGAGACCCCTGGCAGGGGTCTTGCCTGCTCAGGACAGCCAGAGGGATGTCCTGGGTCCTGACAGCCAGTGGTGTTCTTTAGCATCCCTGGGCAGCGGCAGCTCTCAGCAGCCATGCAGGCAGTAAGGCCTGCTCTCACCCTTCATTTGGAGTCGCCACAGCTGTGCAATGCAGAGCTGTTTGCTGTGGCACCCTCTGGCACTGGCAGGGCTGTTTGCAGCCCCAAAGTGGGAGCCGCTCTGATGTTGGGAGGTGGTGGTCACTGCATGGCATGAAAGCCACAGCCCTGCAGGGTCAGGGCCACCCTCCAGGTTAGTGGGTGCTTGGTGCTGCTGTTCCCAGACGAGGCTGTTGGATGTTCCCAGCAATGAGGAACACAAAATTTCCCAACCCTTGTGAGCAAAGCCGGGACAGAGTGGGCGAGAGGAGGAGGGGACCTTCCCCTTCTGACTTCCTGGCAATGGTTTCCTTCCCCAGATGTTCTAATGACATTTCGGGATTTTTGACGAAAACCATGACAGGAGAGGTCACGTCCCCAGATCTGTAAGGGGCTTTCAGCTGGGTCAGGGTTTAAGGGACTCTGGGCTTCCGGTAAGCCAGTGCAGCAGCTGCCAGCTCTTGATGTGAGGGTCCAAGGGGTTAAAGGACCATGTGTTGGTTGCTTGTCCCTGCGGCCAAAGCAAACTGTGACCAGAGCTGAGGCATCGGAGTGGCCTGTGTCCTGTCCCTCAGGAGAAGGAACCCAAAGCCCTCAGGAAGGGCATTGGCACTGCCTACTCAGCCTCTTGCTCCACTCCATCATACCTGCCACCCCACCTCATCTCCAGCTCCCCTCCTGCTCACCAGGCTTTGATCATCAGTGTTAGAGACCATTTCCATTTGCCTTTCCTTGGCAGAACACCCAGGCCATTTCCATCCAGCATCCCTGAATGTTCTGCTGTGTTTCTGCCCTTGGCTGGGTGTTCACAGCAAGCACATGTGAGGCAGCAATGCCTCATTGCGGCAGGAGATATGCAGGGCCCTGTGCCAGCAAACAGGCTGTGCTTTCTGCCCCTGGGGCTGTGCATCCCCCCAGACTGATGTGAGGGATAGCACATTAGCCCAGTGTGTGTGTGCTTTTAAAAAAACGCTCTGTTACTGACCCTCTCTGCACCACCCCTTCTTCCCTCACCCCCTTGGATTTTTCTCCTCATCCAGCTCCTCATCACCTTTTGTCCTTTCTTTTGATGCCAGCCTGTCCAAGGATTATGTGTACCAAACCAAGATGTGTTTAAAGTGAGTGCTGTCCCCAAAATCCCACATGGGTGACTGACCAGCCCAGCAAAGGGGAGGCAGTGGGGACAGTTGAGGGCTGAGTGTTGTGTGTAGGCCACAGGGGAGGTAGTGGGGATAATTGTGGGCCGAGCGTTGCGTGTAGGCCACAATCAGCTTGGGCAAGCTGGTAACCATCTCTCTTGGGATTTTCCTCCCCAGTTTGAGCAGTCGTCCCTGCAGGCAGTTCACCAGCAGAGACGGGAGATGTTGAGCAACATCTGCAGCCGTTACACCCGCAAGCGGCGTCTCCTGCGGCCGGACGACTTGCGGCACTTGGTGGTGGACGACACACACGGGCTGCTCTACTGCTACGTGCCCAAAGTGGCCTGCACCAACTGGAAGCGGGTGATGATGGTCCTGACAGGGCAAGGCAAGTACCGGGACCCTCTGGAGATCCCCGCGCACGAGGCCCACGTGCCCTCCAACCTGCGCACGCTGTCCGAGTACAGCGTCGCCGAGATCAACGCCCGCCTGCGCACCTACCTCAAGTTCATCTTCGTGCGGGAGCCGTTGGAGCGCCTGGTCTCGGCCTACCGCAACAAGTTCACGCTCAGCTACAACACGGCCTTCCACAAGCGCTACGGCACCAAAATCGTGCGGCGGCACCGGCCGCAGCCCAGCCAGCGCGCCCTGGAGCGCGGCGACGACGTGCGCTTCGAGGAGTTCGTCTACTACCTGCTGGACCCGCGCACACAGCAGGAGGAGCCCTTCAACGAGCACTGGGAGCGCGTGCACTCACTCTGCCACCCCTGCATCATCCACTACGACGTGGTGGGCAAGTACGAGACCTTGGCCGAAGACGCCAAGTACATCCTGCAGCTGGTAGGGGCCGACGCCAGCGTCAAGTTCCCGGCTTCGTCCAAGACCACCAGGACGACGGACGACATGACGGCCCAGTTCTTCCAGGACATTAGCCCCTTCTACCAAAGGAGACTCTTTAATTTATACAAAATGGACTACTTGCTGTTCAATTACTCCATCCCCTCGTACCTCCGCCTCCGGTGAGGTGGGGGCTGCAGGGGAGCAGTGAGGGAGAGCTGGATAACTCTCACCTTGCCATGATACCTCTCCTCCTGCCTTGAGCTCGTCTCTTGGTTGACTTCTTCCCCGTGCCCTTTTGTTAGGGTCTGCTCCACCTCCTGATGCCTTTCGTGCATGCTCTGGAGGAAGAACACTTCTCAATACACTGGGGCTGGAGCTTTTCCTTCCCTTTCCCTCCCAGCCTTCAGTATCTACAGGGAATGGTGGTGGGACTGGACGCTTCTTGCCTTGGTGGGGACTTTCTTGTAACTAAGAGACTCCTCTGTAGATCCAAATCTTGGGAAGGCTCCTTTTTTGGGCAGGATCCCTTCAGGTCTTTCTCCTCCTTACTGGGCTGTTTGGGGGCAGACATGGAGTCTCAGGGGTCAGAGGGGAGTGTATCAGAGACTTGCATAGAACCAGAAATAAAGCAATAATTTAATGTAACTTTTTCCTTTTATTTAAAATTGCTCCCACCTTTTTTTTTGTCTTGTTCTCTTCTTGTCCTTCATGCCATCCCCTACTGAGGAGGTTATAACACAGAGAGGTGTGTTACTCTGGCCACATTTTTATCCCTGGAGGGATTTTTTGTTCCTCTCCTTCCACGTGTTCTCAGCTGGGGTGCAAAATTCTCCAAAGATAGAGAGGAAAGGCTTGCAGCAGGTCCTCAGCAGGTCTTTTCCCCTGAACTACCACAGCAGAGTGCCTGTGTGTGCATGTCTCTGGATTTCTGGTCAAATCCATTAAATCCAGGCCCCCACACCTCCCATTTTTGAAAGCAGGTGACAGCAGTTGTGAAGCCATACAGAGTGTAAGGGTGCAGGTGTCTGCTCTGATGAAATCACACCATCCTCAGTGTCCTGCCCTGGCCCTGCTGGTCAGGCAGGGCCCTGCTGGCACTGCTGGCTTCTCTTCCCAGGACAGCATAAAGTTAGAAAAGTTATAAAGTGTTTGGGGGAACACTGGGCTGGGATGTGGGAGATTGCTGTGGTAATGGAGAGGTAATGTTGGACTGGGAGGCCAGAAAAGTCTGTGTGTTTGTGTGTGTGTATGTGTGAGAGAGAGGGAAAAATTGAGGATAAAAACAGGGAGAGAGACACCTAGAGGGAAACAGTCCTTTTCCTGGTTGCCTTTGGATAATCACTCCTTGAAGAAAGAACAGGGAGGAGGGAGTGAAACACAAAAGAAAATGACAAACTGAGCCCTAGGATTTTAAATTAAAGCCAGTCCATATTTCAGTTTTTCCTCTTTTCTGTTTGGCTTTGGCTTGCTGGCTGCCTTTGTAAATAAACACACTGGTAATAGATGCTGTGGAGTGTGTTCTGCTGGCTTGGCTGCAAACACTTGACTTATTAGTGCAATACAATGGGAGGTTTTATGAAACCACAGTGCTCTCAGTATCTGTAAAAAAATGGTGTTTCCATCTAACAACTTTCAGCTGTTATATCTTAACCTTTTTCCTCTCTGCCTCTGACTGGCATCTATATGCCGACACTCCCTCCTTGCTTGCTCCATTGGAGATTGGCTTTAGCAAAGCAATGAAAAAGAAAAGTAAATGAAACTGCTGGTGATGCTGGCAGTGTGACTGATTCTCCCAATCTGCACTGGAGATCTTGAAGAAATGGCCTTTCTCATGCTGTCTTGGTATCTCCCTGTCTAGCTGAAACACAAAACACAAAACCGGATTATATGATGCAACAAATTTCATCTGCAGCGTTCAGGCTTGGAGTACATTCCTCCTGCTTTCTCAGGAGTCTTGTGCTCCCTGCTTAGAGCTGCCTCTGCTTGGAAAAATCATTGTTCAAGTCACTGCAAGATCTTTTCATCGCTTTTGGTCATGAATCATAATCTGGGGTCAGATGCAGGGTCATAAATGGATGGGGTTTTGGATGGTTTTTTGTTTTTATTTTTCCTAAATACTGTTCCCTGCCAGTACCTCTGAAGAGCTGATGGCACAGTGAGTGGCAGGGACAGAAACACTCCCAGCTGTGCTGTCTGTGGGTGTTTAGATGATATCTGGCTGGCTGGGAGCTGCTTTGGGCTTTCTTTGGTGTGAGAGTGAGGGAACAGATGCCTCTGGGCTTTGTTCTTCAGCCAGGTGGTTTCTAATCTTTCCTGGAACAGTGGCAATGGGGAGGTGTCCCCAGCTGTGAGTGGCTGTTCGACTGGCAGTCTGTCCTGGCATCCCCATCAGACCTGACCCACTGACCCATTGACCAGCCCAGACACACACCCATGGACCAAATGCAGCTCTGCAGCCTTGGTTGTGAGCTTTTGAAAGCAGGACCCTGTAAAGCTGTGTTTTGGGTAATTTAGAAATTGAACCTTTAGAAATACCCACCCTTGCGCTGCTTCTGTAAAATCCCCACAGAAACATCCACAATCCAAACCATTTAGGTCATACCCTTGGCTTGCTCTCTGCCTAAACCCAAAGCTTTCCAAAGGAAAACCTAACCATGCAAACAAAAAGGGGCACTTTGTATTTCTGAAACAAACCCTTTCAGCCTGGGCTGGAGCTTTTTAGGACAGAAATCGCTCAGCCCATGCCAAGGCCAGATTGCTGGGACCGGGATTCCCCGGGGCCAGCTCTGAAATCGGGATGCTGCGGGACGGGGTCGGGATGCTGTGGGGTCAGAATGCTATGGGGCCGGGATGCTGCGGGGTCAGGATGCTGTGGGGTTAAGATGCTGTGGGGCAGGGATGCTGTGGGATCAGGATGCTGTGGGGTCAGGATGCTGAGGGGTCAGGATGCTGTGGGATCAGGATGCTGTGGGATCAGGATGCTGTAGGGTCAGGATGCTGCTGGCAGCCGCCGCCCTCGCCGCAGGCTCGGTCCGACCCTTCCCGGCCCACGGAAAGCGCTGGAGGACGGGAGCAGGACGGAGCGAGGAGGACCCCGTGTGACCGGAGATCCCAACTACAGGCGGTGAAATTCCCTGTGCGGGTGCTGGGAACCATTTCTCTGGGGGCTCCCGGTTCGTTGGGCTTTTCAGACTGTTTCACCGCATCCCTTTTTCTTTTTAGAGGAAGAAAACATCGATGAGACCTGAGCCATAGTGTGACTGGATTTGGTTTTCTCTTCCACTTGGAGGTGGGGATGTGGCACTGAAGAGAGGACCATGGCAGTAATGTCCCCCCAGCCCCCTGAAAGGGTCCTATCCTGGCCTCAGGCTGCAGAGCTTGGGGACAAGAGACTCTAAATGAGTCAGGCTGGTCCTGGAGTCTGGCCCAAGGCTGGTTTTGAACCCTTTGCAAGGCCCCCAAGGAGATACTGGGGAGCTCCCAAGGACACAAGAAACAAGAACAGCCTCACTTTGATGCATTCATGTGTGCACAAATATACAATGAAAATAATGATTATATTATAATGTATAATAGAATTACTGCTGGGTCAATCTACATATTATATACTGATTACTTTTGTGTATGGTTATAATACTTAACAGACATTTGGCTTATGTTTGTCTGCATATGTGTGCCTGTGCACCATCTCACTTATTATATAAACACTCAATACTCCCCGGCATAAAAGGGAGAGTACCTTTCCTTGCTGTTCTGTTGAGCTTTGCCACAGCCCAGCATGGCTCAGGAGTCAATGAGGAGCCAGCCCCTTCCTCCCAGTGCCTCCAGCAGCTCCAGCCTGGTGAATGCTGAGCACTCTGCTGTGCTCTGGGTTTGCTGGGTTGTGCAGCTCCTGGCCCCATCCCTCATGGCCCACGTGAAGCTGTTGAGTTTCTCCTTCCAGTGGAACAAAATGGAGCTTCAGTGATCAGGAGGTTTCTTTCCAGACTTTCCTGTGCACCACAGATTGGGTTGTTTACCAGCTGGAGGATTAAAGAGACTGTCATTGAAGAGAAAAAAAACCCAAGTGTATTCAAGTATGTCTTGGAAGCAGTGTCTCCCTTGAAGGAGGCTTTTCAGACTTGCTGTGTTTGCTGGCTGGCACTTTGCTTGTCCCTGCTAAGGAAGCTCCATCTCACAGAGAGTTTCTGGAAAATTACTGTGTTAGGATGGAGGCAGTGAGTGGAAGCAGTGGGGGGAGAAAAATAAATTATTTGACTATCCCTGAAAACAAACCCCTGTTACCATCTTCATCTACAGATGGTGACTGCCCCATCTTTGCCTGCAAAGAGAAACCAAGAATGCACCCAGGAATGGGGGAACCCCTGACTGACCTTCCTCCCCAAGGTGTTCATCTGGGATCTCCCCAAGGTTCATCTGGGATCTCCCCAGGGTCCCAGCAGCCACCCCAGCACCCCAACACCTGTGGTGGGCAGGCACTCACCCCCTCCCAAACTCCAGTGCTCTTCCTCAGCCCCACTCCACAACACTGACATGAACCTGAGATTTAATTGGGGCACAACTCGTGGTCAGGAGTGAACCTACCTGCACTGCTAATGCAGTGGGAAATAAAACCATGGGACACTAAAAATAATTATATATATTGTTTCACTGCCCACTACTAGAGTCTAGATCAGCTGGCTGATGGCTGCACAGCGTTCAAAACCAGCCAATCTCATTCTCTGCCAACACTCCACATTTTCCTTTATTCCCTCTAAAGGTTATAGCAAGGTAAGCCTTCCACAAGCATCTCACAGCACTGGGTGGGTTTCTCAGTCCAGGACCAGCACTGAGCCCAAAGGGGCAGCTCAGCAACCAAGGACTAAAGAGCAGCAAGAAAGAAACTCTCTTCTTCCACCTCCTCCTTTTTTGAGGCTATTGCTTGTTTGGGAGCTGTGAGGACTAAATACAAGTAAAAGTCACTGTTGGCTGAAACTGAGGTGCTGTGTCTGTGGCAGGGTGGGTCCAGCCCAGTGACAAGCTGGGCTCAGTAATGACACAGACACAGCAGCAGAGAAGCCAGGCCCACTGCTGGCAGTGATTTCCCTGCTGGGTTAGACAGAAATCCCTATGAAATGTCCCCACCCTGTCTGGGCTCTGCTACCCACACAAGTCTGCTCTGAAACTGAAATTTGTGGAGGAAAAGGGAGTCAAACAACCCCATCCCTAAATCTTCTCTGGCCAAATTGCTCCAACACAACAACACAGCAATCATAAAGCCAGGTAGGGCCTGCTGTGATGTACTGAAAATTCTTAGAAGCTGAGGAGCCTGCAGGTATTTAAGCATCAAATTTCTGATTTTAAGGGAAGGGAGAGGATGCCTGGACAACTCAGGGGCTTCTGGCAACTGGTGCCAGGGGACACAGCAGTGCTGCCCACTCACTGGAGGGGCTGGGGGTGCTTTCTTAGAGGAGCAAGTTCAGACAGAGTCACAGGAATGCTGATCCAAGCTGTGCTCTGGGGTTACATATCAGCTCTGTTAGCAAAGACCCTTTCTCATTTGCACAGACAAGAAAAAAAGAGGAAAGAGTAAACAGGCTGAGCAGCCAAATAACTAGCCTCTCACTGCCCTTATTAAAAAAAAAAAAGGAGAAAAATCCCTTTTTATTGAAACCATTTCCTTTGGTTATATCATTTCTCTTGAGGCTGGAAGCAATTTTAAATCTTAAGTGCCTTTCTCTGCACTAAGCCCAGAGGCACAAGGCTGAAGCTTGGCTGCCCACCAAGGCGTGCCCTGGAGAGCAGCACATCTTGCTGTGCCCTCTGTCCTTGCCCCACAGCACCCCTGAGCCCCGGAGCCTCCTGCAGGGGGGAACCCCAATCCCAGCACATGGTGCAGCATGGGTCACCTTGGCACAGCTGAGTGCCACAAGTAGGACACAGATGGCATCCATTACGTGTTCCCATCCCATCCTCTGTCAACAGTGACAACCACGTTAAGCTGAGTCCTGCCCAGAAATCCCCCAGTGAAGGGACATGCCAGTGCCAGGGCTTTGCTGCAAGCACACAGCAGAGAAGCAGCTGTGCATTGGGCACTGGGGTTTGATGCTGGAGGAGTGTGATGGGGTCCCTTGCACCAGCCACTGGCTCCAGTCTAGGTCTTTTTCAGGATTGGAGGAAGCAGGGCCAAACCTGTGTTAATAAGAGAAAAGCAGAAGGAGTTTCACATGTTCAGGATCCTGTAGAGGGCTGGGGTGTCCCCAGCAGCTTGGCTTTAGCACCAGCCTCACCTGATTCACAAGACCAGCACAAGCACCAGAGAGAACCTCTCTGAGCTGGTGGGGACAATGCAGCAAGGAGGAGGAAAATGGTGCTGAGGAAGGAGGAGTCACTTGCCAGGCCTGCTCAAGCCAGTGCCAAGTCTGAGCTATTAAAGCTTTACAAAGTAAAGCACTAAGCTGAAGTTGTTAAAATATCTACATACACATCCTCTAAGGTGCCCCTCACACTGGGACTGGCAGTCAGAAGCTTTGCTTTCCCCACGGGCTGCAGCAGGGATCAAGCCACACCCAAGGCAGGGCAGTGTGTGCTGAACCCTCCCTGCTGTGCACAGCCTCTCCAGCTCAGCAGCACCAGGCAATTTGTCCTTCATGGCAAAAAAAAAAAAGAAGGGGAAACTTGGGGAAAGGGGCGGCTTTCCTCCCTCCCCAAAAAATAGCTTTTTTTTTTTTTTTTTCCAGGGAGTGTTTTCCCCATGCCTGGCAGCCCAGAGCTGCTCAGTTTTCACTGTTAGGGACCCTCAGCCATGTGTGGAACCCATGCGGGGGCCTCAGCTCTGCAGTGACACCAGCTCAGAGCTGGGAGCAATGAAACACCCAAGGCCAGCAGGCACTCAACACAGCTGAGGTTCAAGTGTTTTAGAGCTGGCCAGGTCCTTAAATAAGGCATCATGGGGGACTTGACCTCCCCTTTTCCCTTCTCCAACAAGAAGGTAGATAATTAATAAAGGTGAGGCCCAGTGACATTTTTCAAAGGTTTGATCCATCTCCTCAGCTCCTGACTCTTCAGCATCTTATTATCTGGAGGACTCGAGTGCTTCTTCAGTTTCAGTGAGAATTGGCTGCTTCCAGCCCCAGAAGCCTCTCTGATGGTAGCCTCCCTCAGATTGCCACCCTGGAGCAAGGACCCAAGGAGTCACTGGCCACAGCCTCGTGCCTGATCCTCACCCAGACCAACACAGGCAGCTCCTGGACTGATTCCAAAGCAATTGTTAAAGAGTGGATGGTGACTGTGGGACAGGCTTTAATTCTGACCTGAAACATATGGGTGTCAAAACATTCTTTGTTAGGAAACACTGATTTTCCTGAAACCCTATTAAAATTGTGTTGTCCAATCCTGAATGGATGAGAAAAAAAACAAGAAGTTCTACCTGACAAGTAAGTACTAAAACCAGGCAGAGTCGTGGCAAGAAAAATCAACCAGCAAATCCACAGCATTACTCTTTTTTTTTTACCCACTTTATTTATGTGTGTGTTTCTATAAACATTTGAACTACTGGACATTTCATAAACCGTAAAAACAAACCTTCCTGCCCCTAAAATGCAACATAACCAGCTTTTTGGTCAGAGACCAGGGATGCTGGCAGGGCAGGTAGGTGGTATCCCTAGATAACCTCCACTGGGCATGAGCCAGCAGCTCACTGCCTCAGATCCTGAGCTCCGACCTGGTTGCTCTGCTACTCCAGGAGCAGGAGAAAAGTGGGGTGAATAAAGAATTTCCCTTGGTGGAAAGTCAGAGGATGGAGGGGCTGCAGCATCCCCTGGCAGGATCAGACACAGTGACCTGGGCAGGCTCTGGAGCAGCCTAAGGGCTGTCTCAGTGCTGGGGATTGACACCATGGCCCAAATGCTCCTTCCTCCCTTCTTCTTTTCCGTCCTCCCCAGTGGCCCAACTGCTCCTTGTTGCCCTGTTTGCAGGTGTGAGCAGGGGGTGCTCCTTCAATCCGCTTTGCTCCCCTCCGAGGGCAGGAGTTTGTGGGTGCTGATTGCTGGGGCTGGCTGTAAGGCACGGTGGGGAGGGCAGGGGGTGGGCAGGGTGGCAGGGGGGGCCCAGCCCAGCCAGGTGAGCCAGCACAGAGTGCCAGGCACCCACTGGAGGGGGGCACCGTGTCACAGCAGGGGCGAGAGCAGCACAGGCACTCTCAGTTGCCCAGGTTCATGTCTGTGCCATGGATGAGCCACACCAGGCGGAAGCAGATGGCCAGGAACCCAGTGCCCAGCAGGTCCCCCAGGGCTGTGAGGTAGGGGATGGAGAAATTGTCTGGGTCCAGAGCCTTCCTCCACATCAGGCGCACGAGCAGGTCGGCCACGTAGAGCAGGATCCCCACCTGGGAGGGGAAACAGAGAGAAGGAGACAGACAAACCCTGGGCCCAGAGCCAAAGGGAGCTGCCATGGCCAGGGAACCAGAGCTAACGGGGTCACTGAGCATGCACAGCTTCCCAGAGAGCTGGGGTTCCTCTCTGGAATGGGATGGGATGGGACGGGATGGACGAGACGGGATGGACGAGACGGGATGGAATGGCATGGGTGTAGCTGGCTCCTACCCTATCACATAACCCACAGCCCTCTGCTGCCAGCCCCAAGTGCAAAGACCCTGCCTGAACTGCTCACCAGCACTGCTTGCCCAAACCAGAGCCTGGCCACACCAAAAGCATCTCCCAAAGGTACAATTTCTATCCCTGTGCCTTGAGCAGGAGTGCTCCCACTCACTCCACCAGATGAAGGTTTCTGTGAATATGCAGGCAACCCCAAAGGACAAGTTCGTAGCCAGGGTTTTTTTTCCTTCATCCTTTTTTTTCCATTAGAAATTCAGATCATGTCTACTTTGTTTTTCCTAAAAGTCTCAGTGGACAACTGGAGTTTGAGGCAGTTTTTACATCAAAGCCATCCCAAGCAGAACTGACATGATAAAAAAAAAAAAAATCTTTTTTTTTCATCTCGACAGTTTAAAAATCTTTGTTGTGATTTCTTTTAATTCTTATTTCATTCCCAATTCTGATAAACAGATGGCAGAAAAAAATATTTTGGTTAAAGATTAAAGACTGTCTAGTTAATTGAATTAAGAAGGGAGAGAGAATTTGCACCCCACATCTGTGGTCCCTCCATGGGAGACCACAGCACATCAGGAACCAAAGCCTGAGGCAGCATTTCTAAAGGTGAAAACTGCAAGCTGGGTTGGGAGAAAGGGAGGAGGAGAGATGGGGGAAGTAAATTAAATAACAGAATCACAGAAACTAAAGCTGGCTGGAAACTCGAGAGTTTTACACAGATCATTTGTCTTCCTCAATTCAGGATCAAATACATCCACATCTTTCCTGATGGAAAATTTGTTGAACTTGTACTAAACAACATCTCACAAATGGAGATGCTACACTCCAAGCAATCAATCCCACAGCTTTTTCCCCCCATTTTTGTTTTTCCCAAGGCCTAACATAAATCTGCCTTTTTCCATTTGAAATCCATGATTTCATGTTTCCTCCCCTAATGACCACATAGCAAATATTATTCTGTCCCTTCCTACAGAAATTTGGCAGTTTAAAGGCTGTTAACCAGACTTTCCCCAAGTCTCTCTACTTTGGACTAGTTAATCCTAAACTTTCCCTCCAACCCTTTTTCTTTCTGTCTTTCTTTATAAAGGATAACAGAGGGGAAAAAAGGGCCAGGCTGAGCGTGCCCTCCTCCACTGGCCTCCATGGGAATCTTTTGGGGTCAGTGCTGTTGCTGGGATGCTGCTCTTTGTGCTGTCATTTATTCTTGCATTTTCATGCCTGGCTTTGGTTGAGGAGTTACCTCGATGCATAAAGAGAAGAATAAATATTTTCCTTTAAACTGTGGCTGTGCTTCTGGGCTTAGGGCTGTGCAAAGGTCGAGGAAAACTGATTGTTTACACACACAAGGAATTCACCCTCAGACACAAGGCTGCTTGTAAGGCAAAGTGAGAGTCAGCCACCTCATCATGCAAATCAATGAATCACTCATTTAAAAGGGCAAGTGAAGTCAGAGCCTCTGTGAGTTCAGGCAACAGCCACATGCATTTCTGAGTGAGAAAAATAAAGTTTACAGAGCAGGAAAAGCAGAACAAATCAGATGATCTGCTCATTGCCTACCAGGAGCTTTCACTTCTGAAGACTAACTGCTCAAGGCCTGGGCTTCCCCTTTGTTTTTTGCCCACATGGCCCTGCCCAGAGCGATTCCCTAGGTTTTCACCATAAAATGTGACAGTGGTTTCCAAAATGGGTGGGGAAAACTGCTGGCTGCTGTTCACTGCTTTTCACCTTGCTGGGGTAACTAGTGGCAGCCTGGAAATATTTGCAGCTTAGAGACCCAAGGAGTGAACATTCTAAAGCAAGGTACTTCTTGCTAAGTGTGTCTCTGCACACTTAATGCAGCTCAGTGGATGTTGAGAAGTTTTTCCTCCTCTCACCCTAAAGCACAGCTGTGCTCATGTGGGAAACTAGAGCCTGGCAATTTGGGTGCAGCATTACAGGAGCTACAGAATGCACATGATTCTTGGCAGAAGCACACCTGAAATGGCAGGAAGCAGAGGCTGCTGCTGCTGAATGTTTTACTGTGACTCCTTTTAAACCTGGAGAATGCTGGTTTTGTGTTATCTGATAGACTCCTTTTGGGTGGGAGTTTGGGATTTACCTGCAGCAGAGCAGCAGCCAGGTAGAACATCACAAAGGTGAAGGACAGGGATGTGTGGCCTCCCTGCAGCAGGTGGATGGTGTAGAGAAACACCAGGTGCCCTGGGATGACCAGCAGGAACAGCACTCGGGCTGACTTGGAATTCACCCCTGCAGAGACAGAGACAGAAACAGGGGTAACAGCAGCTGGGAGGACAGGACACAGTGAATATTTTAATGCATAAACCCTCCACCAACCCCATTGCTAATGCCTTCTCTAGATCACACAAACACAGGCAGCATCTGCAGGATCAGCCCAGCAGCTTTGTCTAGCACTGGAACTGCATGCCAAAGGCTTTGTGCTCCGTGCTGATCCACTGTGGTTCTTGCAAACCCTGCTCTGTGATTCTTGCAAACACTCCTCTCAGCTGCTCTCTGCCTCCCACAACTTCTGCTCTGCCTCAGTGCAACAGATTTTCCCAGTTTATAGTTTGATCTAGCACTAACTCTCAACCTAACAGGGAAAATCAAGAGGAACTCTATAAAGACAACAGACCCAAAATTGAGTTTTGCTGATTCTTAAGTATTTCCAGTGCTGAAGGTGGAGGAATTGCTGATATTCAGCAAGATTATGGTCTATTCACTGCTCTGTCCACAGGTGATGGCTGTAGGCTGGCCATTAAAATGACTTTCTGTTAGATCAAATCTAAGATTCTTTTTCAATTACTTTCCTTAGTGCTCCCTGAAGGCCACTTTCTTTGCATGCCACTGAGCAAATATGCCTTAAGCCTTTTTTTTCATGCTGTCCACTGCAAGGATGCTTCCTCTCTGATCTGAGTTTTCTCTGAGAGAGGGGAAAATTCTGCCTTTGAAACCCAGGCAGTGCTTCACCATGAAGGCTTAGGAAAGGAGCTGCCTGTGAGGACAGAGAGACACCAAGGGCTCAGGGTGTACCTGATGAGAAGAATGTGGTGCATGGGTTGGGCCAGTTCTGCCTCATCTTGTATGGCAAAACTCCAGGCATGCTCCAGAAGTGCAGGAATGTAGAAATTCGGCTGGCTTGGATGGCAACCAGATTCCCTCCAACACCTGTGAGGACAAAAACACAGAAAACCTGGAAACCACCTTCACCACAGCAGTAAACAGGATTCCAAAACCCAGCCTAGGGTGAGTCAATCTGCATTCACTGAGAGCAGCAGTGAGGGAAAGAGCAAACCTGACCCCTGCATCCCTAGGGGTGCTGCACTATTCACATTTCAGGAACAGCTCCTGAAAATCAGGAAGGCTCCAAAAATTGTGTTCCTCTGACTGCTGGCTGAAAACATTTTCCCTTTCTCCCTAGCACTGGATGTGGCCTCTGAGATGATGTAATTGCACCTGGCTGGACAGAGTCTGTGAGCAACACCTGGGGAAAGCTGTGCAGAGGCTGCTCATGGCCACTTCTTGGATTTACTCACTCAGAGAAACATTATTGTTTGAAAGACAACAAAACATCACAGAGAGTGATTATATGTCTGTCTGAAGGTACCTAACGCACTTGTTCAATGAGAAGGAATCATGAGAATGAACCCAAAAATGGTTAGAACCCAAAAATGGTAGCTAAATAAAGTAAATTATTTCATTCCAGACTGATTAATTGCAGCAAACATGAAAAAGCAGCTATAGAGGGAAAATTATCTATGGAACAAACTTCCACCACCCTAAGTATTTTCAGGGTGGAAATGCCACAGAAAAGATAAGGGTGAGCCAGATGCTACAGGCTTCTCATGCCTTCCCTTCCTTGGAGAAGAAATCGTCATTAAATGTGAGATTTCCCAGATGAGAATCAAAGTGAAAATATTCAGGCTGTCTCATTGCAGCTGAAGATGGACCTGTCTGAGCCATGCACTGCCAGGCTTTGCACAGGCAGAGTGAAGAGCTTTGAGGGTGGCACAAGGCCCTAGAAGCCTGGGTTTCCCTTGGAATGGGCCTGTCCTACAAGAATGTTATAATAGCAGAAAATTAAGCTAGTGGATCTTCAGTGATACCAGGATCCCCAGCAGTTTGTGCTGATAGGTGTGTGCATAAAAGTACTGTGAATATAAAATATAAATAAATATTAATATAAATGCACGCAAAATATGTTGAGATATATATATTAAAAATCCAATTATATCCAATTCATGCATGTAATCTTTATGTATATATAAAGATATATATTTAGCTCATGCACATATCAATATAAAAAATATAAGTAATGTAAATATAAATATAAGTATAATGAACACACAAAATATATTGAGATATATACATAAAAGTCCAATTACATCCAATCCATGCATATAATCTTTACATATATATAAAGATATATATTTATCTCATGCACACAAAAATTACAAATATAAATATAAATGAATATGCACACAAAATGTTTATATATATATATATATATATACCCAATTATATCCAATCCATGCATATAATCTCTCAGATTCATACACATGTATAATCTTATTATATTACTAGTTATCAACATTCTGTATAGGAGATGATTGCACCACACAAATCACTGAGTGGAGGGAAGGAAACAAGGGGAAATGGATTTATTGAGACATCCCAGTAGGTTTGATTTTATGAAAAGTGTCAATGTAGCTCTCAGAGATGCTGTTAACCTTTTTGCACAGCTCTGTCCTCGCTGCTGTTTTGCTCCAGAGACATTTCAAAACATAAACAGGAACATGATGGGGACCAGTAGCTTCACTTCCACTCATGATGGGAGCAGGGAATTGAACACTGATCTCTGTGTAGGGGCAATGGTGGATGCCAGAAGCCTTGGGAGGAAGGAGAGGTATAAATAAAAGCATGCATAGAACCTCCATGTCCAACCTACCATTAATCACAGGTGTGAAAACTGCCATGCCTTCAAAGTTTGGGTCAGTCACAGTTTTGTCCAGGATGAGCCCACCAATGCTGTTAAGAAAAGGACAGCAAATGAGGTTGGATCAATCTTTTCCCAGGGCAATTCCCACACTGAAAACAGCACCCTGCCATGGGTTACTGCATCTTCCCCACTGCCAGATTGGACTGCTCACCATGCACTCCTTTACAGCTCAGCTTCCACCAAGAGAAAACATTATAGATTTTGTTAATGGCATAATGATTCATAAGGATCTCCTTGCCCACTCCCAAGCAAAACTGGTAGTGGTTAGAAAAGCATTATCATCCTCCCACAAAGTTTTGTTACCCTTCTATACTGGACTTAGCAGTTTATTAAAATTCTCTTCCAGATCTCAGCTTGTACCACAGGAAGAAGGAACTACCTGGCTCTACATTTACCAGTATTTTCTCTTTACAGCTGGATAAGAATGAGGTTGAAGCCTGACAATCTGTGATGATCAAAGCCTGTCAATTTGTGATGATCATCATCTGTGCTTTCAGTTTGCTGGCTTTCACCCATGTGGTGCCTGGATGTGTGAGTGAGACTCAGAATGATTTGCTTTTCCCAGTCCTTTGGGGGCTCCTTATCAGCTGTCTCGCAAATAAGGGAGACAGACTGAAACCCTTTGGCACAGTTTGTATCTCCTTTATGCAGGACTGAGAAGGACCAGAGGCAATTAAAAAAAAAATTGAGAATCTTCTCTGGCAAGAGATGTGGAAACCCAGAGCACTGGGAATATTTCTGTGTCTGCTCTGGGGTGCCCTGACCCCCAGAGGAGCACTAACTTTGACTCTCATTCATGGAGAAAGTTGCCTAGACTTCAAGATAGACTGGAATCCACAAAAGTGTGGAATAGATTATAGAGACCAGTGTAGGTGTATCACTTGGTGAGAAATTTAGGTTTTGGAATTTTTAGTATGTTGTGGATGGAAGAAAGATGGAGGGCACAGGGTGTCGTCCTGGGTTTCTTCTTCATCCTCCTTTTTCATGGGTTTGGGTGGCATTTTGTAATTGAGCAGAAAAGTCCATATTGGGGGCTCTTTGAGATCAATTATTGGGTTAAAAGGGAAAATAATCCAGGTGTCAGTTCTTAATTGGATAGTTTAGTCTTAAAAGATCTTGTAACAAGAGATTGTTGGCCATCTTATACCTTGCTGCTGAACTCACAGTAGGGAGACACTTTTACTGACAACAAATAATAAACACCTGAATCCCAACATGAATCACTGTCACAAGTGCCTTCAATCCAGACCCAGAAAAACTGACAAGTGGTACCCCCACAAAGAGGATATTCTGCAGCAGGAGAAGGGGCTGCAGGTGGCACACAGCACTACAAACTGTACAGACTCAGAAGAGAGTCTGTTGGAGAGTCACCAATGGCTGAGAAGCTCAGGGCAAACCCCCTGCTGCTGTCCCTGGCAGTGTCCCCTTGGTGTCCCTCTGAGCGAGCCCAGGTGTGTGCAGGGTGCTCACAGGGTGGGAGCTGTGCCTCCCTTACCTGCTGATGCTCATGGCAACAATGACCGGCTGCCAGCCAGACTTCAGCACTTCAGCCAGGGAAGGACTTTGCTTGGCAATGGCAACCCAGAGAGGGATCATGACAATGAACACAGCACAGATCAGAGGAGAAAGGTACTTCACATCTGGCAGGGAGAAGAAATGTTGAATTAAATTAAACCATAGCTTCACTGGTTGCCAAAATCGTAATGCACAAAGATGGGAAGAAATGCAGCAGGATTCTTGCTCCAACTGAGTTACGTTAGAGGAAAAAATCACATGAAGCATGATAGTCCTCACAAAACCACCTCATTCCACCACAGAAATCCATAATTAATCCCTGAAATTCACTGCTAGAGGATGCGGTTTGAAAATCAGCAGGATTCAAAGCAAGCTATATTTGAAGACGAACAACTCTTCAATTTCATCTCCAACTAAGAAATATAAAAAGTTACAAAATTTCTGGCTTCAGGGTGCAAATCAAACAGCAGGGCAAGGGGGAAACTCCTGTGTGGAAGCTGTACCCCACTCAGGGCAGACACCTCATACCTTCACCTAAAACAAGAGGTAAGAGGCACTTTAGGAGGGGAGCTAGCAGAATTGCTGAGCAGCTGGTCTGCTCTAATGTTCTCTGGCACATATCAGCCAGTTCAGATCTGGGGTTTTCTTTTGTGCTAGCTTGCATGTGTTTCCATTCGGTGCTTTTTCCATTCAGCAGAGGCATAGCCTTGGATCTTTAGAAGCAAAGAAATTAAAAAATAAGATGTGCAGCACTAAAAGAAAATAAACATGACTCAGAAGCATGAGAAACACCTTCGAGCAATGGGGCTGATGCCAGCCCTTTTGATACAAAAATGCTTCTTCAACAAAGCTCTCCATCTGGTCTCTGAGCTGGGGCCAAAGGCAGTGGGATGTAATGCTGGCTTTGCAGGTAATCTGGGAGATGAAGCAGCTCCAAGTGTGCATTTTTAACAACACCACTGCCAGGGCCTTGGGCTACCTGGATGAGACAGCACTGACGTGATGGCATCTGCTGGGAGTGAAAGGCTCTCACACAAAGAGGTGCAACTCCTCATGAGAGGCTTCAATGGCACTGAAATGCATCTCCACTGAGTTTTGTCACTGCACTTCACCCCCTGGAGTCATCCAGGACAGGTGGGTTGTCTGACAGACTCAGCTGCTGAACTGGGTCTCTTACCCACACCATGTGTTGTTTTAAGCAATTAATTCCTTCTTAAATAAAGCAGGCACAGAGTACTGGAGTTGATCAAACCTTATCAGAGCCCACAGAAAGGCTCCTGGTGGGATGAATGCTCTTCAGGCTCCACATTCCAGTTCTGCTACATTCTCTCACAGGCAGCCCATACCAAGCTGAAACCCTTTGGCACAGTTTCTATCTCCTTTATGCAGGACTGAGAAGAACCAGAGCCAATTAAAAAAAAATAAATAGAGAATCTTCTCTGGCAAGAGGATATTCTGCAGAAGGAGAAGGTGCTGCATCAGGTGGCACACAGTACTTCAAACTTCACAGGCTCATCAGTATACATACACATTTTGGTAGGACCCAGAAGTTTTTAGAGTGTGACCTGCACCTTATTACACACTGGGCAGGGAAATGGATTTGTTCAAGCACCATCAGCAGTGCCATCCTTCTACCTGCTTCACTTCATGCTCCCAATGACTTGGTGTCTGTGTGCTGACAATTTTCCATCTCAAAAAGCTCTTCAAACTACTCTGGCAACCCCAGAAATGCTCTCTGGTCACAGCCACAGGGGTTATCATGCTGTTCTGCCCTGTGCTCTCTGGGAGATATTATCTGAGGCTCAGCAACTGAAAGACAGATTAGCTTTACAGAGGCAGGTGCAATGCCATCATGGAAAAATCCTATTAAAAAAAAGCACGCCTCTGAAGCTCAAGGAGGACAGGATGGAAGCAATTCATAGGCCTCTCCCTGCAGTGTGGGCTCCTTCACTCCCTCACTTGTGCTTGCACATGGAATGAGTTATGCAAACTGAGAACAGCTGCCTCATGCTTCTGCTCAGTCTGGAGCAACAGTTTGGGTTTCAAACGGAATTGAGTTTGCTGCATCTTTTTATTTTCCCATTTCTGTTCTAGCTTAGGCTCACAGTAAATAGCCCAACACTTTAAAAGCAACAGATATATCACCAATGTTTTGAACTTCTGAGGGTCATCAGGTGCCCAAGCCTTTGGCAAACAGCAGCACAGCCAACCCCAGACCACAGCTCCTACTCGGAGTCCTGCAGGCACAAAACACTGCAGGCTACCTCCCTCCAACTGAATATCTTGTTCATCCATGGCTCTCCATGTGAGAGGATACAAGAATATTTCACTAGTGCCAAACCCCTGGAATTGCTTGTGAAGCAGGAGCTGCTGTTACCCATCCATGCACAGGAAGGAGTTCTGCTGGCTAGTGACAGATCGAGGAACAGAGGCAGTGTCACATATGCCAGCCTCCTGTTCCAAAGCTGCACAATACATGTTGGTCATTTCTTTGACAAATCCCACTTGTGTTTACTAGGCTCTGCCTTCCAGTTTGTTACTAAAAGACAGTCTGGAAAAAGCCTCTTTGGTCGTTTTTCTACCCCAGTGACATGACAGCCTCCATTCTGAATCATGCCAGAAATGCTGGGGCAGCCTGCAGTAATTTCAGAAGGATTTGTGAGCTCCCTTGCTGAGCTGCAGCTCCCTGCTGAACACTGTACCTATGTATTTGAAGAGTGTGCTGCTGATTCCTGCCAGGAGGGAAAGGGTTATCAAATCTCCCAGGCTTGCTGCTATGGGTGTGGCGACATTGTCTGGGTTGATCCCAACTTTCCTGGCTCCAATGATCACACCAATCATCACCAGACCTAGAGAAGACACAGAGCAGGCATCAGAGAGAGCATTTGGCTGTGTTTTACCCCAGAGCTGCTGCTCTGGGTCAGGATGGATGTGGGGGTCTAAGAGAAGCAAGAAGCAAGAAACACGATACCCACAACAGCACCGTGCAGCTGGAGACTGGGCACCCCCAGGAATTTGTCCTTTTGTTTTCACCAACCTGAAGTGCACGACTCTGTCCTTATAAACTGCACCAAGGGCCCAGAGGCACACAGGCAAATTCCAGGGATCAAAGCAGACACCAGCAGGCAGCCCAAATGTAGAAGCTCCCCTCCTGAGCAGCCTAATCTTTGCTGCCTTGAAGCAGGAGCAGGCACGAAGCACACTCATAGATAAGCACACAGCAGGCATGCAGCAGCCTCTTGGTGCCATCCCCTCCTCTGGATTCCACAGCACAAAGATATTTTCCATATTAGACTGAAATTTCTCAAAGTTTGAACCACCAAGGAGCAATGAGCTGCCTTACAGTGGCCTGCATTTCAGCCCAGCCATCAGACTCAGCCCTCATGTCCCAGAGCCTTTGGGGCTGCTTTCATTTGCTCTGGGTGGATATTGATGCTGTGAGCAGCCCCAGAGTCAAGGGGTTATGGTGGCTGCCCACATCTCTTCCCTTGTCCTCTGAGGTGCACCTGGAATATTGAGCTGCTTTTCAGCACTGCTGGGGAGAAGAGAGGTTTTACTTACCCAAGTTTAGGAGCACAAACCCCAAACCCTGGTGAACATGTGGGAATCCCTCAGTGTGACCATGTTCACAGGGGTCTGAGGATGAGGGAAGAGATGAGGATCTGACTCCATGTTTCAGAAGGCTTGATTTATTATTTTATGATATATATTATATTAAAACTATACTAAAAGAATAGAAGAAAGGATTTCATCAGAAGGCTAGATAAGCTAAGAATAGAAAAAAAAAGAATGAATAACAAAGGCTTGTGTCTCGGACAGAGTCTGAGCCAGCTGACTGTGATTAGCCATTAATTAGAAACAACTCTATGAGACCAATCCCAGATGCACCTGTCGCATTCCACAGCAGCAGATAACTATGGTTTACATTTTGTTCTTGAGGTGTCTCAGCTTCCCAGGAGGAAAAATCCTAAGGAAAGGATTTTTCAGAAAATATCATGGCTACACCTCAGCTATCAGATCTCTCACAGCGATGTGGAAGAAGCACCTGGAATAAGCTAACTAGCAAAGGCAGCCTTGAGACAAGGGATTAGACATCCCTTCAAAGTCCTTCTGTGGCTGACAGGCTGCACTGAAAGAAGCCCAAGAAACGGTGATTCCCTCCAGCCCAAGAAATGGTGATTTCCTCCAGCTCACAGCCTCCCTGTGCCTGTCTACAGCCCCTCCAAAGCTGAGCATGCACAGGAGCATCAGTTCTACCCCAAGAAATGTTCATCTTCCCTGGTACAACATCCCTTAGACAAAAACACATCCTCACACAATGTGACATTCCACAGCAGCCCTCCCAGACAGCCACACTCCCTCCCCTCAGCACAGCTCATGCTGCTCCCCTCCCTGGCCATAAAAGCAGCAGCTTCAGCCACACACAGGCTGCCTGTGACATGTCCAGGGAAAAATCTGATGTCAAACCTGAGAGAGCACAGCAGCAAAGCCTCTCTGTGCCCCACCAAGCAGGGAGATTGCAGGGAAGAGCAATGAAAGCTGAGCTGCTGTTATTTAACAACTGCCTCATCCCACGTTTCCCACCAAAGGCATCTCCAATCACCCTCTGACTCCAGCTTCAGGATATGCAGTTGTTCTAACTTGTCCCTTTCATTTAGAGAACTTGCAGCATCCTTTGTGCCAGCTGCTCTATTCAGGGTACCATGCTGCCCTCATATGGCAGACCCACAAACTGGAGAGCTTCAAACCACTCTGAACAGCTCAGCCCATCACATTCCCCTGGAAGGGGAAGAGCCAGGGGAGAGAAGTGCCTGGTTCAGCTCACAGCAGGCAGACTGCAGGGCTGCCCACAGGTGTGGGGTGACCCATCTCGAGCGTGGATTTGTCAGCTACCAGACCCTCAATCCCTGGGTGACATTATTTCACCTTCACTGGAAAAGGGACAGCATGGATGGCTTATGTGACACCCCAGAGACACAGAGTGGGGGTGTTTGTGCAGCCAGGCACAGCTTGGGGCACTTTTCCTGTGCCAGGTGAAGCACGCTTTGATTCCTGCCTGTGGATGCTGAGAACAACAGACCATGGGGGAAGAGAAGCACAGGCAGCATGCAGAGAGGATGAAAGCAGCAGCCACAGCTCCCTGCAGCCTTCTCCCTCTGCCACACCAGAGGGATGCCAGCTGGGCCTCCCTGGTGGCACAGGGACAGCTCATCCCCCACCTGGGTGCTGCGTGGTGGATCTGAGGAGGCAGAAGCACTCACCAAGGGAAAGGGCAGCAATGAAGGCCGTGGTGACACTGCTGGCACACAGCACAGCAGCCTGGCTCAGCTCCACAGAGCCCTTGGAGATAGCTCCCAGGATCACAGCAGCCACAGCAGCCAGCAGCCCCACCACAGTGGCCTGGACCTGGGGAGCAAAGGACAGCTGGTGAGCACTCACCCCCATCTGCTCCTGGCAGCCCTGGCCCCACCACTGCAGCTCTGCCACAGCTTGCAGGGCAAAGCCTGGCACTGATGAAGATTGTTTGGGTATTTAAACAGCATCCCTGCAAGGCTCCGCTAGATCAAAAATAGAAATCCTGACAAAGTTTGCAGAAAATCTCTGGGGGTCTGCAAATGGCAGATAACACTTCAGCAAAGGACACAGAGTCCAGCAGCAAGTGCATAGCCCTGGTCAAGACAAAAATGGACTCCCCATCAGCTCTGCACTCCTGGGAGGCTTGGAGCTGTGCAGGGAGATAAGGGAAAGCACACAGGCACAGGCTGCCAGCCCTGAGCTCTTGCCATGTGCAAACTCCAGGCTGGCTCCTGGATTTTAACAAGCAGAAGAATTGCCTTTGCAGGAGGGAATTTCTCCATCTCTCCCCTCCTGCCCAAGGCTGATTCCCAAACAGTGCCAGTGAATGACAGGCTTTATCCAGGGGCTGCTGTGAAACAGGGATTGTGCCACAGCTCCTGTGCAAAAGGAGTTTTTATTAGTTCAGTTTGTCCACAAAGGCAGCGAATGTCCAGATGTGTTTTACAGCTAAACTACAAGCTCTGGGCCACACAGAGCTTTACTGGAGGTCAAGTCCTGGCTCTGCTTGGCTGTGTTGAGGATTCCTGACCCAAATCACCAACTCTGCATTCAGCACTGCTGGAACAGATGCTGCTGGTCTGCAACAGAGCAAGAGAAAAGAGACTTCTGCATCTCCCAGCTGAAGTGACTCACCTGGATAAGGGCTAGGTTGCAGGTGGCCATTTTCCATTGCTTCTGGGCATCATCCATCTGTCCAGTGTTAGCCTAGGAGTCAAGAGAGATACCCTGAAAGCTGTTCCTGTGGTACAGGTGGCTGCTGAAGGCAGTTTCACCTGCTCCCTGGGGGAAAGGGGCTGTCAGAGAGAGGCAAATGCAGGCCAACATCTCCCAGCCTTCCCTGCACCTCTTTCTTGACACTTTTCCACCAGCCCAGTGTCCCAGGGGCATCAGAGGCTCACACACTGGAGGTGCAGAGGTGTTGCAGGGCACCCAGCTAAAAGTGAAGTGGGCATATCCATCACAGCCCACACAGACAAAAAGCTGAAAAAATTAAACCATTTTTTGTCCTTTGTTCTCCCAAAATTCCTCTAGTAAGCTACAATTTCTCCTGAGGCATTAAAAAAAAAAAAAAAGACCAAAGTAAACAAAATTGCTTAGGGAGATAGAAGAGATCAAACACAGAGCAGCAAAAGCTGCTGCAGGTTCCAAGAAGCCTCAGTCTGCTCCTCCCAGGGTAGGATTTCTGGGAAGCCCTCAAGGATCAATACCCACAGCAAAGCAATCCAGCACTGGAGCTGACAGCTGTGCAGCCCTGGCTGTGTCTCCTTCATGTGTCACAGGGCCCCAAATATCAGCAAGTGGCCACCCAGGGATTAATTCACCTTCAAAGTGCAGATGGAAATTCTCTGTTCCAGTTACAAAATGAGGGCAAACACATTATTTTAATGTTCATACCCCACTAGTTTCTAGTTAGCAGAAAAGGGCATCTCTCATACACAGCGTGATTATATAAACGAAGAATCTCCTGATGCCTCCTGCTAATCACCCCCCTCCCACAATTAACCAGCTTGTTAACACTCACAGCAGTGGAGAGCCTGGATGCCAGTGTCATCTCCAGATTTCCCTTCAGGCCAACCAGGGCAGGAACCAGGATGAAAACTTCTGTGATGGTCCGGAACACATCCCAGTGCTGCAAGGAAACAGAGGCAGCGACCTCAGCCTGTGCTGCTGCACCCCAGGGCCTTGTCCCAGTACCTCCAGGTGTCCTGGGCACACAGGGACAGATGCTGCCCTGATCCATTTCATGTTTTGCATTTTGGGAGGGAAGGAGGAATTTTCAGCTTGCAGTATTCTTTCTCATCTCGTGCACAACAAAGCACTGCCCTAATGGGGAAGGATCTTTCTTTCTGGGGGCAACAGAAGATTTTGGAAACCCATAAATTAAAACATTTAAATTTTGGAAACCTATAAACTGAAACCTTTAAAGTTTGGAAACCCATAAATTAAAATCTCTTTAGCACCAGCCAAGACCAATGTTAAAAGTAATTAAGGTTCACAAACCAAAGTAAATAAAGCATGTTCTCCATCCTTTGCACTGACACTAGAACCTCTGTGACTAGCACCTAGGAACCTCTACTGCCATCCAAACTCATGAGAACAAAACCAAAGATGTAGGAAATGATCTCACAAGAAGAAGTTGTGTTTTGTCTTTTCTTACCAAACTTCAAGTCAAGCATCTAAGACTGCTGAGGGGAAGGAAAGAGATTTTTGTATCTCTTCTCCACAGGCAGTTCCTAAATCTTCCTGTTACCAAGCACATTCTTGGTACAGCTGGAAAAAGGTTTTGAATTAAGATATCTCATGAGCCAAACTGCTGAGCCAATATCTTCACTGTTGTTGCTCCTCTGAAGCTGAACTCTGCAAAGGTGTTGAACCAGCTGCAACACCAGGGACAATCTGAAAACTTAACAAACTTTGTTGACTGAGATGTCATCTCTAATTTTTGTACCACACAGTGCCTTGGAATAGAGTTCATCCCTCCTCTGTGCATTCAAGGGTGTTGGCAAAGCCCTGCTGTGGCCAGAGAGGTTTAAATCAGGATGGATCCCAGGATGGGGACACTCAGCATGAAGGAAAAGTAACGAACCCAACATCTAAGAGAGAACACAAGGAAAAAAGGGTGGCTGCAATGAATCACATCAAAGGTCCATCTAACCCATCCTTAGCTCTGCCAATAATCCAGTTTGGGTGTGTAAAACAAGAATCTACAAAAATGACAGGTTAATGGGAAAACTCTCCTGTGTATTTTCCAGACTCTGACTATCTCCACAGGGTCCTGAGCTGCTGGGGGTTCTCTGCACATTTCCCAGTGCTGAAAGGTTTTCTCTTTCAGGTGCTCATTCAAACTCCCCCCTCCAAGCCATGTGCCATCCTGTGGCACAGATTTCCATAGTTTAGCTGCACATCACATGAAGATCCATTTGTTCATTCTTTCCATCTTGCTGCTGGCTGGTACCCATGGTGGTCCTGAATTCTGGCACTGGAGGACAAAACAAACCAGCACATCCCAACCCACCTTTTTCACATCCGCTGGGATTCTATAAACCCGAATATCCAGGTGGCTGGACAGACTCAACAAATGATGACACATTCAGCTGCCAGCCTGTTGGAAATATATACAGGGTGTAATAATAAACACCTGTATAGAGTGTTTTTCTCTGGCTGTGCCATGGGAAGCTGTGGGAAGGTGGTGGTGTCTGTCTCACAGCTTCCTTCTCAGTCAGGATGGATGAAATTGGGGCTAAGCCAGTCCTGAGCATGTGGAACAAGGCACCTCAGAAGTGCAGATAACAGGCAGAACGTTACTATCAATAAAAAAAGGCATTTTTCCTGGCAGTGGTGGAACAGGCATGTTTCAAAATGGGCAAGGTATGTTACTGTTGCATAAACAACTAACAACACAAAAATTATCCCCTTATTTGGCACACTACAGTTTTGTTTATATTTGTTAACATGGAACTTAAATACCTGAGAAAAGCTAGGGGTGGACATTTCTTTTAAAGACTCATATCCCCCTCTCTGCTCTCTCTTTAATTAAGAATAAAGATCCAAACACATCTTTGACACCTTCAAAAGAAAGAGGACAAAACACAGGCTCCACAGTCACAATGTAAAACTCCCAATCATTTAAAGCACAGAGGCATACAGAAATTCGTACTTGAGACCTTGCATATTTTGCACATAAAAAGACATAAATAGAAAGCAATAGAAAAACTCGACTGTTTGTATTTTCTGTGCATGCCACCTTTGGGAAATACAACTTTGGTATATCTAGGTAAGCTCCAATCCTTGTGACATAATAGATTTTGCAGGTCTCAGACCATCAAAACACAAGTTTCAGCATATGAGGTATGATTTTTGGGACTCTGCCTTACATATAATTACACCTGAAAGCTCTGAACAATTAATAATCACACAACTGTACTAATAAAAAAAAAAAAGCTGACTTAATTGCCTCTATTTTAGTCTCATTAGTGACTCACTGAGAGCCTAAGGGAAGATTCTTAACGATTTATACTACAACAGCCAGGGCTCCATTGTGTTAGTGACTGCAGGAATACAGAATAAAGAGATGATGCCTGTGCCATCAACTGGCAGGGCTGTCAGCTGGAGGAGTGGCTGAGGGGGCAGTTTGGAGCCATGCAGGCAGGAAACTACCTGAATGAAGACACCTGGACAAAGCCTAGGAAATGTCTGTCCTTTGAGACAAAAACTGGCCTAGAAAGAACAAAAACATTCCATGCAAACCCACTCAGACAGACACAGAGCCAGAAAGAGACTCTTTCCCACTTCACATTTTCACAATGGAGTTCCAGCCCTAAAACTCAGCTCTGAAGAAGCTTGATTAATAATTGGTTAATAGAAAATTCCATGTTTTACCCAAAGCAGCTGGATCTGCTCGTGGGGTCCCTCAGAAGAAGGGAGGTTATTTATCATGGATGCTCTGAGCCAGGCCCCAGCCTCAGTGCAGCCCCCCCATGTCACAGACATCTTTTATGAAAAATCCTTTCTTTAGTATTTTTTCTCCTGAGAAGCTGAGAGGCCTCAAGAACAAAATGTAAACAATGGTTATCTGCTGCTGTGGAATGCAACAGGTGCATCTGGGATTGGTCTCATAGAGCTGTTTCTAATTAATGGCCAATCACAGTCAGCTGTGAGACAGAGAGTCCAAGCCACAAGCCTTTGTTATCATTCTCTCTTTTTCTATTCCTTGCTAGCCTTCTGATGAAATCCTTTCTTCTATTCTTTTAGTATAGTTTTACTATAATACATATCCTAAAATAATAAATCAAACCTTCTAAAACATGGAGTCAGATCCTCATCTCTTCCCTCATCCTCGGACCCCTGTGAACACCATCACACCCCCAGCCTCAGTGCAGCCCCCCAGCAGCTCCCCACACTGTCCCCACAGACCCAGCCTGTCCTGTTGCCTCCCCAGGACAGACATCTCCCATCCATCCATCTTCCATCCATCTCCCATGGCAGCAGCTCAGAAGCCTCAGAGGTTTTACACTACTCTGAACAAGTCAACAGAAATATCAAAATATCCTAGAGTACAAAATGCAAGCCAATTCAAAATCCTTTTCAAAGCTAATCATCTCATGGGCTTTTGTCAACAAAGGACAGAGATATCTTCTGTCTGTGACTTTTCTTTGGACTGTGTCCCACTCCAGTGGCATGGAAAGGGAAAATGAAAGGGAAGCTTTCCTCCTGAATTCTCTGGTTGGAAATCTGATCAGCCAGCTTCAATCTAATTCTTCACTTTACTGTAAAAAAGTGGGCCAAACACTGGCAGGGCCCTGCAAGGTCTCCAGCAGTGCCAGCCAGCCCAGAATCCAGATGGACCAGCAGCCAAGGACCACTGGAACAGAGGCAGAAATGTCCAGAAAGAAAAGCCTGTGCCTTGCTATCAGCCCTGCAGAGAGAGTGCATCATCTGCACACACAGGAAGGGAAAATGGCAAACATCTTCTTCTTTGGGCATCCTTTTCCTACAGCATGGGAGACCAAGGTTTGAACCTTAGAGTCAACTGGGCTGGGTAAATTGCTTCTGTTGATTTTTCTCTCAAACAATAACAGTTCCTGGTTTCATCCCAGAGCAGATCAGAAACTGCTAAAATCCTGAGAAGTTTGACAGGATCCAAATGAGCAATTTACACTTTGTTCTCTTTACAGCAATATGAGCCCTGCAAAAGACAGCATCAGCTGGACTCACAGCACAGAACCAAGTTATTTCAAGATATTTTGAATGTAATAAAAGAAGGGCAGTAGGATTAAACTCAGTATTATCTATGCTCTAGATACCATCCTTAAGCTTGCCCATATATCTCCCTGTCCAAGGCAAACAGAGTTTCCTAAGAATGTTTTGCAGTCACTAGGGTAAGACATTCCTTAGCCAGAAGAACCACTAGAAAATGGGCAAACCACAGACTCCTGGACTTGAAAAACCTGTAGTTTCAGTATGTGAGCCCTCATGCCTGGCAATATGAGTCTCATGGTACCTGGCCTCAAGCAAACAAACTCAGTGTCAGGTTTTAGTTGGACAAAACTGTGAGTTTCCATCTCTCACACTTGCAGGAAGTTGAAAATCAACAGCTCAAAGACAAGCACAGAACAATATCCCAAACCTTTAAAGGCTGACATCTCTGCATTTTCCCAGCTACTGGTTTTGTTTTTAGCTGTGGGGTTGTTGCTACCATGGCAGCTCACCTCACTAACATCTCCCCTGTGCCATTTGTAACTCTCAATGCACTGGGCTCCCTTCTCTGTGAGCTGAACCCATGGACTGACCATTTCTATTTCAACACACTTCACCAGAATATACACTTCCTGTGGTCGTGGTTTACACCTGACCCCATTTCTATGAGTCAAGTGAGCAAATACACAAACTAGATTGCACATTGTCATTTAAAGGACAGGTGCAAGGTATGCATACACAGCCTGTGTTTCCCATCAGTCTGGATACAGCCACATTTTTGAACACAGTTCAGCTCTTAGCAAGTGAATTGATTTCTTCTATACAAAGACCTGTTCACTCCAAGGTATAGAGTGGGTATGTGCTGTGTCCTTCTCCTTCTTTGAGACAAATGCTAACTATCAACATAACATCTTGGGGGTAGTTTGAGAACTTCTGTAATGCGGCAAGACAGGTCTGTGCCAAAGCACAGCACAAGGTGGAGATGACAAACACAGCCCAGAAAGAGCCTGTGCCACTCCAGTTAACCCTTCTTTGATATTCCTTGTGCCCTCTTTAGTTCAACCTCTCTGCCTTCTTTGTTTCTTCCAGTGCAAGAAAAAAACCAAGCAAGGTATTGTCTTTCCAAACATTCAAGTATCCATATTTAGCTCCTCCCGTGGTATTAATGCCAGAGAATCCAATGTACTCCAGTGAGCTCAGAGTGTAGGATATATCCTTGGGAAACTCTGCCAGCCTTTTGATTTGTAAATCCACCAGCATGAGATGCCCAAATGAGATCAAATTTTGCATTTCTATTTGTGCCACCAGCACAAAGGAAACACAGATGGGACAGATCCTGGTTGGGGGCACAATGGTGCAAATGCTGCAGCACTCCCTGGCAGCCAGGGGAAGTCATTCTGAATTTATACCCACCTCAGGAACTGCCCAAGAAGCACCCAGTTTGTAGGCAAGGCTAATCATTTTATGGTGGCATACCACTCATCACACTATCTAAATGATTTCTAGACCAAAGATTATATTAGGTTTTTTGCAAAGAACTGAAAGCATGAACTTGCCTCTAAGTAAAACAGGTAGTTAATAACAACCCTGACCTAGATCTCCTTATCAGCAGCTTTTGAAGGAAAGAAACGATATCATGCAACAGGGGAATATGCTGCAGCCTGATCCAGTTGCTTCACAGGAGTTTTATCAAAGTGTTCAGCTCCACAGAGAAAAGGGAGCACCCTGTCTAGCACACCCAGAGCAGTGCCAGGCAGACATCTGACAACCCACACCACAAGAAACCCAGCTACTGATCTAAAGGAGGTGGACGGTGTGCCTCCAGCACAGAAAAAGCCTACAGCCATGCTGCTGACTGGCTGCTAGGAGCACACTCATTAAAAACAAACAACTCAAATGCTCAAGGTCAGAGCCTAAGCCCACCCTCTCACTACAGGTTGCCTAATTACAGGTACCTACTTGAACAACATCCATCAAGAGGCCAGCAGCTACCATTCCCAAGCCAGCCAGGAGGAATGGCACAAAAATCTGGGAGGCAATGGAGAAGGATGTCTCTGGGAGAAATCCACTGGCTGACCTGGTCAGCTTGCAGGTGAAACCTCTCAGCTTCTTGCCATGGAAGCACAGTTCCAGCTGTAACTGGGTGACCACCATGGTCACACACTGCTACCCCATGCTCAGCAGGAAAATGGAGGGAGATCAGGACATGACACAGATCCTCTCTGCAGCTCTCTCCAAAGCCAGAAGGAATGTTTTTCCTCAAACTACAGCAACGATGCCAAATTCCTTTAGTTTCTTCTCCTCCTAGGAGCACGTCCAGACGATTGCAGCAAGGGTATCCTCCAAAATTGGTTCAGCTGGGTTGAGCCCAGGTGGCAGCAAACTCGATGGACACAATTTCTCTGATTTATATCCAGGGGGGAATTAAAAAAGAGAAGAGAAGATTGTAGAGATGCTTGTGGACGAATAGAAATGAGCCCACACCCCATTCAGCTCCCACCACTTCGGTAAAAACCAGTAAGACCTGCTCAGGCTACAGCACTGAAAGAGTAACAAGTCACACAAGAATCCCTCAGCGTGCTCAAACACACTGGTGTCCTTTCTCCTCGGGTTACATTTCTTGTCAGAGCGCGGCGCGCGTTCGCTACCAGGGTTTAATGTGTAAGCTGCTGCCAACAACCAGCCCGGCTCCTCGCTCCCACCACAGGCTCTGCTGAACTTTCCTGGCTGTCCCGAGGCCGAGGAGGTGGGGAATTACCAACCACGATCCATGCTGCACTTCTCCAAGGTAAAGAAAGGTCAAGCAGAGCAGGAGCCCACGCTTCTCTCAGCTGACGGCGGCGTTACGCAGGTCCTGTCCCCAGGCAGGTGACACAGCTGAGCCGGCTGGTGACACAGGATCTGCCCTTCTAGACCCCAACCCCAGGCAGGTGACACAGCTGAGCCAGCTGGTGACACAGGATCTGCCCTCCTAGACCTCGGCCCCTCGTGTCCGCTCCATGGTCTCGGTGGGACAGAACAATCGGGCTGTGCCAGCTGTACCTCTGAATGACTGGCTCTCAGGGGGAAAAAAAGTTCAGAGAAGCAGCCAATAAGCTTCAAAAGCAAGTACCCTTATCTGCTGTCATCACTTCAACTTTCTGCTAGTTTGCAGAGGCCGAGATAAGAGTCCTAGCCCAGCTCATTTAAGGTAGCTCCATAATCTCTCTGCACGACAGACAAGGGAGAGAAAGGGCGCGCTGTGAGCTGGTCACCCTTCCTGCTCTGAAGTGAAACATGCTGCTCCTGCATGCTCCTGGGAAGTACTGTCTGAAAAAGGGGGTCTCACCCAGAGCTTCATGGTTAAGGAGCCTATACAAGGTCGAAAATCACAGCTGCACCTGCTACATATGGCCAAAAAAATTTGTATCCTGCTCCATAAATGCTTCAGCTCAAAGTCAGGCATGTAGGGAAAAGAGTCATGGTATTATGCCTAGGCTCCTTTCTAATAATTATTTTGGGCAAACTAATTGAATCAGAGGGTCAAAAAGGTTTTAAAACCACCTTTTAGGATGGATCAAGCCCTTCCCTCTCATTCCCTGCAGAGAGGAAAAGGCTAATGGCTTGTGGACTCTGTCCTTGTGACAGGGTCCCCAGCACTGCGGGGGAGTTGGAGAGAACACGACATGCTCACAGCTAATTTGGGAACTGAGGGAGCTCTCGGCCATTCAGGCAGTGTTTCTTTGGTCTGAGCTCACAGCAGCTGAGGTGACAGAGCAGAACTTCCTGGAAGCAAGGCAGAAAACACATGGAGCTGCAGGGGCTCTGTCCTTCGCTGCTTTCTAGGCTGTTATTTTGGTACAGCCCCTGAAACCTTCTCCACTCCCAGCTGGTGTGTACAGTGTCTCCACCACCTAACAATGGTCCAGTTAGCTGAAAGCTAACAGGAGAGCACATTTCAGCTAATCTAACTGGAAAAAAAGTTCCACAATATCTGGAAGAGCCAGGTTAATAAAAATCCTGTAATAACCACACATGATCCAACCTCTTTATACCAGCTGGGAAGAGAGAAATGACAGTATGAAGGCCCAGTTCTAGTTTACCATTGACAGAGGCTTCAAGGAAATAAAAGACAATTTCTGGACAAAACTTCTGGACAAAAAAATAGGTTTTCCAGTTCTAATAATGTGCCTACCTAGTCCCATATGTCACTGTATCAGCTAAGTGGATTGATGACAGGCAGAAGCACTAATGTAAAGGAAATATCAATGAGACTGAATGACTCAAATGACATTAAAAAACACAGCAGCAACACATCCTGTACTAAAGCATCAGCCTGACAGGGTTTATGAGTTTATCACGCTCCATCTCTCTCCTTTTAAGCAAGCACCATAAAAAGCCCTCAACCGATAAATCAGTATGCAGAGAGGTAATTGGTTCAGGTGACCCATGTGTGTACACTGGGCCATTTTATTATGCATTTAAGGAGCCTCTGATAAAGAGCCACACCATATTTATCAGTAGGGAGATGCATCTCTTTTTCCTGGCAAAGAAATACACCTTATTTGTCCAGACAACATGCATCAGGTGTGAGAAGAAAGAGAGCATTGCTCAACAGTGGGAAAAGGATTGTAGTCTCCAGAATTGGCACAATTGCTTCTGACTAACAATAATCTGGTATTATGGGATGTATCCAACTTCCAAAGTGTAAATTTGTGACTGGTATTCATGTGGATCCATGGTGCAAGAAGCAATCACAGAAAAGACACGAGACCAGAGAGAATTGATATTATTTCTAATACATGAACTGGAAGCCTGGAGACTAGCTAGCGAAAAAACTAAAAAAAAACCCCAACAGCTCATGGCTGTGCCACTCAAGATGGCAAAACCTGGAGAGGTGCACTGCTGCCCTGCTCTGCACACAGATACATCCTCCTGTTGCCAGCTAGCCAACAAGCAGCACTGCCTTGGAGGAGCCAAAGCAGAAACAGCCTCTTGGGTGAGTCCTGACCCTGACTTAGATCCCCCATCCACTGGCACAGTGCAAACATCAGAACAGACAGACAGCAAGTGTCTGAGAGCACAGTTTCATCCCTACCTTGTCATCCCTGCAAAGGAGACACAGAAATGCCAGGATGCTCTCACAGTGTGGCAGTGCTAGCAGCACTGTCCCAGCACCACAGGCTCACAGGAGAACCTGATGGTGCTGTCCAGGGACTGCACATCCCAGCTGCTCCAGCACCACCACCCCTGACTCTGGGAGCTCTCTGCTGCACCAAGCAGTGAATTCCTGTTTCTAACCTTGCTCTTCTCCTCCCCACTTTAGGAAAGGGCAGAGAAGAGAACTTTTGTGGAGAGATGGAAGGCGGCAGATGGAGAGTGCCTGGGGCCCAGGGACTTCAGAAACAGCAGCAGCAGCCAGGCAAAGGCCAGGCCTGGCTCAGGAAGGAAGGGCAGCAGCAAGTGCTTGCTGAGATGTGCTCAGGCAGTCCATGGCATTCACAAACAGCCGCTGTGCTCATTGCCAAAAGCCACGTTTCCTATGACATGTTGCATGGGTTGGTTTCCCATACTTTAAGCACTGCTATGATGGCTTTTAGTGAGCTCTGTATTTGCAAAAACAGAAAACAGACTTTTGCAGTTGCAGAGGAGAATGAGTCTGCCTCACATTCTGTTCATATTAGTGGCTCAGCTCCTCCTAGGAAAAAAAACATTGAAGAAAAAGTCCTCCTCCAACATCACAAACCCATCTGCAATTAATTTCACACTTTAACAACTCACAGTAGGAAGAAACACACATTTAATGTCAGAGATCCTTTGGAACAGGCAGCTCTAGAAAGTCTAAAAAATAAAAACAGAAGTGGCTGCTCAGTGTTCAAGGCTCTTGGGAATGATGTCTAAGGAGACAAAAAGTAGTTTGACAGTGGGTTCTGCATTTGCCTGGTGTTCTGTGATCTGACTAGACATTCTGCTGGGTATCAAGTACAAGCTGAGGTCAGTTAAGGATACTGTGTCACTCCTAAGCCTTTATAGCTCTTCTAGCTCAGGGAGATCAGCCCTGGGTTAATGACAAAGGAACACAGCTCCACATTTATGAAAGTTGTCAGTGTAAGCACTGAAGCTTCTGTGTCCCTCTATCAGATAGGTCAGGGTAGTTTGACCTCACTAGTTAGTCAAATAACAATGTTAACAGAAAGGCAGGCTGTTAGAGGAACCCAGAGTGCAAAGGCATGGCAATTTATAATCAGCTTTAAACTGTCTAAAATTAGGTGCTGATTATTGCCTTAAAGGTCTGTATTGCTGCACCACAGGAGGAAAGGTCTCATCCTGATCCCCAAAGTCAGAAATGGGACCTAAGGAATTCAAGTCTTCTGCTGTGAGGCCTTAGAAAAGGATGTGGTGCACAGGCAGGGCTGAGCTGTTGTGGGAAATGTTAACAGTGCTGGGCTGGCTGATGCCTTGTGCAGGACTGTCCAGAGCTACATCCCTGAGTGATGTCACCTCTGTGTGTGCTGCAGGAAAGCACTGTGCCACCCCAGGCTGTGCCCACCCACCCTCTTCCCAGCACCAAGGGGACATCTCTGCATATTCCTGATCACTAATCAATTAGGAGTTCACATTCCTAATCATCCTTATGTACTCTTTAGTACCGTGTTCTCTTTTTTATCCAGAGGAGGAAAGGCACCAGAAAAGCACCACATGCCTCTTGAGAGCTGCACACAACAGCTGACTTTGAGGGACATGCTGGCATAGGAAACTGCTGCAAATCCTCCCTTACTGTGCCATTCCCAGAGCAAATCCCCTGCCAGTGAAGAAAAGTCCCCCACTCATCCCACAGCAGGTATGTCAGATGAGTTTCTTCCCCTTACCTGAACATAATCCAAAACCATGCCTGCCAAGACCATGCCCAGCCCAGCCAGGAGGTATGGCAGGAGCACTTGCAGGCAGATTGAGATTGCTGACTCTTCCTGTGCCTTTGCCATGGCAGCTTTCTCCTCAGCCAGCAGCTTCTGCTGTGCCTGCAGAGAGACATCCTCTGGCTCCTGGCTGCCAAGCCTGCTCTCCCTGTGTTTACCCTTGCTCTTTCCTCTGTGCCGGGGTCGCTCTCCATTCCTGGACCTGCCCTCTTTCCTCCTCTGCCGAGCTTCCTCACCCTTCATGGTGGCTTTCTTGGATCACAGTTTTTCTGAAAAACAAAGTCAGAAACAAGGAGATAACAAAAAGAATTATTAGGTGGGCGAGAGACAGGAAATTCTTTGGCATTGTGTGCAGTCCTTTAACCTGAAGGCAAACTATCACTCGCTCCCCAAACCCAGGATGCTCTGCTGGCCTCAATACTAGTACTTAGTTTACCTTCAACTTTGTACAGTGTGGAACCAATCTCCCTTTGTGTAGTAGCATTCCTTCCTAGGCCTGTGTTCATGCTGCAGTGCTTGCTGTGCATCCTGGCTGCTCCCCTGAGAATGCCCAGAAGAACAGTGCTGCACATGGCCTGAACTCTTGACCCACCAGCTCTCACACTGGGAGTCACAAAGCACTTATGAGCCCAGCAGAATCCAACCCTTTTCAGGACCTGACTCCTGGCCAAGAAATGGGAGCAGCTGACTTCCTTATATCCTAGCATCCCATAGCCCAGCAAAGGACCAGCATCCAGGTGTGTACTATGCTTACTACATAGCTGTCCACCACTCCTCAGTAACAAGACAATTCTTTGATCTTTGTGCTAATCTGGATACTTTTCCTTCCTTTTGTGCCTTAGTTGACAGACATGCACTACATGACTCATCCATCCACAGAGAAGTTGCCACGACCCCACAGCATCTCACAAGAAAAAATAAACATGCAACATCCTAACCAATAGCCCTTTTGCTGCCATCAAATCTCCTTTCTTGATGGAGCTGTCACTCACACTGCTGGCCCAGGCAGTGCCCCAAGTCTTTCACCCATCACCTCCTGCCAGCCAGCCCTCATCGGGATTAACCTCCGCCAGATGTTCCCTGATGCTCTCATTTTCAGGATGGAACACCCCGAGACCCCGCGCTATCCCAGGCAGGACCAGCCCTCTTCTTGCTCCAACATCTGGAGAGCGGAGGGAACAGCTGGGAGGCCCCAACAACCGCTGGGGAAGAGGGAGGGAGGATGGGCAGGAAGATGGGGAGGACAGTCCGGCTGTGCGGGCGGAGGACCCGCGGCCCGTCCGTCCGTGCTCTTACCGGCTGGCTGTGCTGCGGGGGCGCTGCCGGGGCCGGGGCTGTCCCCGCAGGGCTGGGGCGCTACGAGAGCGGGCGGCCCCCGCCACATCGGGGCGCGGCGGCGGCCGCGGGTTCGAGCCCGGCCCCCGCCCGCGGAGGGAGGCGGAGGCGGCGCCGTGAGTGGCAGCCGCCGGTCCTGCCCCGGCGCCGAGCCCGCAACGCCGCTGCCGCACGCCCCGCCACGCCGGCACAGCCCCGGGCCCTCCCGGTGCCCCCCGGTGCCCCCCGGTGCCCCCCGGCATCCCGGGTGTCGTTCCCGCAGCGCGCCCGCTCTCCCCCCGGAGCCCAGGGAGGGTGGTAGGGGAAGGGTGACAGCTTCCAGCGTGGGCAGCGTAAACAGGAGGCAGCAATTCAGAGCTGCGGAAAGACGTTTCCTCTGTTTGGGTTCTTCGCGGTGTTTTTTGTTGGGTTTTTTCCCTCCTCTTTTTGGCATTTGCCAGAGTTCGTGTTGCGCGTTTCCTGTGCAAACGCCTGCCCCCGGCACCGGCAGGGCACAGCTCCCCTTGGTTCGGGTTTTCTCCCCCTCCCGGTCTGAATCAGCGTGTTAGAAATGTGATTACAGCATCCATCACGTTTAAGCACATAAATCTCATTAAGCGCTGGAGTGACCATACTCATGCAGGTCTCCTGAATCATGCAGCTCAAATTTCCAGAACAATTGAGGATATTAAATCATACCTCAGTAGCAGAGCAAACTTATATCCTGCTGAAGTCTCTCAGATGTCATGCTATGCTAAAGGGCTTTTACAGATAAAACGGTGCCCCTGGCTCAAAGCAGGGCACACCAAAAGGAGTAAAGGTTTTGGTAAGTGGCAGTAAAGAAGCCCTGCAGCTGCTCCGTGTCAAGGGTGCACGGTGCCTGCTGAACGTCACTCTGTAAGGGCAAGGCTTTAAATTTCAGCTCACTTGGTGTAATTTTACGTCTTTACTTTGCAACTGATGCTTCCCTGAGAGCGGTCAGAAGACGGCGTCTTGGTGTGAGAAACAAGAGGGGAAGGAACGCCGTTCTAAAAAGTAACAACGTTGCCAAGACAGTTTTAGACCTGTTAAGTGTATTCTCCTATCGTTTTACCAATGAGCTCCGAAGTAAAATATCTACAGAGCAAGCACAAAGTCTCCTGGTGGAAGTTGACTGACAAGGGCCCTTTGGAGGCGCTTCCAGCCCAGGAATGTGACTGTACGGATCCCACACCTGGGTCTGAGCTGCAGCCACAGGATGAGCTCCCAGCCCTGCCAGAGCTGTCTGTGCCATGATCTGATGTCCCTGGCTGCAGTCCCTGGAGCATCCCCAGGGGTGTATTTGGGTGGCAGCAGCACAAAGCTGCACTTTCTCAGAAGTGCAGTAACACTGTGGATAGGTCCTGGCTTTGACGTAAGGGAACAGTGGCTGGACCTTGATTGCAAACAGAGCTGCAGTGACCCTTTAGATAGGAGAACTCTGCTGCTCCTTGTGGCCTGGGAAGTGCACAAAGGTGAGCCACCTCATGTTGAAATGTTTTATCATCTCCCCCCTGAATTGCAATTTACACGTGCTGCTTTCCTGTGCTCTCTCACAGAGGTGCAGGCAGCACCAGCAGTCACAAGGGGAGGGCTCAATGCACTCATTTCTGTTTCTCCCCACAGGGCTTTTGAAGACTGTTTCCTTCAGCAGGGAAAAAAAGAATAACATTAGTATTCCCTTTGTCACCTCCACATTGCTTCACAACTGGACTTTCTCTCCAGCAATTATTCCCTGAGCCAAGAACAGTGGAATTTTACAGCTTTCTTCAGTATTCTGTCTGAAGATGTGATTTTTTAATTTCCTTCCCAGTTTTCTCCTATAAAATGGCATTTCTTGGGTGACCAGGGACTACTGGAGACATTTCTCAAATATAAATCATGATTTATGACTTCAGTTAGCCCTGGTCACAGACTTAGTTGGACTCCTGGGCCTTGCAAGCTCCCATGTCAGCAGTGGGGCTGTGTTGGGGCTGCTGGAGCCTGCTGCATGGCTCATCAGGCTGCATTCCCACCATGGGACATCCCTCTGGATACCCACCTGCTGCAGCTCAGGATGCATAACGAAATTTGCATTCTCTAGCCTTTCTCCTCTGTGAGACAGTGCTAGCTAGCATGGCTTAAAATAATTATTTGGAGATATGTGCGCAGACAGACACAGGCAGTGCAAAACTGATACATGATCAATGCCTTTTACATTATAAATCTGAGGGTTTAGAGGCAGAAAACAGCAGGAACTTGCTAGAGCTGGTAAACGGGAAAAAGGAGACAATGTCTTCTCTTTGGTTTTCCTTTATGTAATATTTGAAGGAAAGTGAGCTTTATTGTCTGCTAGGCCAGGCCAAATAAATTTTAGATAGTTGTGTTAATTTTGTTCTAATCTCCACCTCCTTCTCCTTCTGATACAAAGTTCTGGAAAGTCCAGATGTTTTGTGTGCACCAGTGTTACTAAGAAAAATTAAAAGTGCCATCTCCTACCTTCTTTATCTCATTGCTTCCCCTTGTTGTAGGCACTCAACTCAGTTGCCTTTGCCATTGGGTCACTTGTTGAGCCAGGGTACAATAACAGACTTTCCCTCGGGTTTCCTGTATGGAAACAACCCTGCAGGGAAGAGCGCAAGCAGTGTGAAGACCTGGTGTTTGTAGTGGGAAACCTCTGTGTTGAGTTGACGCACAGCAGTCCTTTGTCAAACTATTCTTCAGAGGAATAAAACCAGCCTAAATCCCCTCGCTTCCCCAGCACTCTGATGAGAACCATCTGTGCCGGTTTTACCACCTACCCGAGTCCCATTGGTGATATTCCTGTTGCTTTCTATTGCTTGAGGCCTTTCCACTCTCCATCTGCCATTAGATGGCAGCAACTGAATGCGAATGGGGCCCTACGAGCCCTGTTTATCCCGTGGCTTGAGCAGGGATTTCAAGCTTTTCACTTCTAGGTCAATGGTTCAAATCTGGCCCGGGTCAGGAGGGGCCAGAGATCTTTGTAATCCGGCAGCTGCTCAGCGTCCCCTGTGAGAGCAGCTTGTGCATTTCTGCCTCTGATCTCGTGGAGGAGTGCCCTTCTCATCCCTGGCACCAACTGGCAGCAGTGCTTGACACACCAAAAAGAGGTGGAAGATGCTCCAAAGAGATGAATTCTCCTCCCTGAGCTCCGGATGATTGGACAAAGGGGAGCACTCATCCCTGTGCTGCCCTCGGTAATGATGCCAGAAGAATGTGCTGGCCCCATTCCTCCTCTAAGATAACTGCCCAGAATTATCTCATTCCGGGCAGCAGGGTGACAGTTGGGGTCTTTCAGCAGATAAAATTAATTTGTTATTAATTTGAGATATGATATTCGGACGGAGTAGTGATGGCGCAATGAAACCCTGTCAGGCATGTTGTAATACCTCTGTTATTTACAGCCTCCATAACTGCAGGGACAAACTCCATCCAGAGCTGCCTCACAAGGTGACCTAATTTGGAAAAGGAAACAGATACAGAATTTTCTCACATTAAAGGACACCTCACTGTGACTTCTTCTCTTACAATTTTAAAGCCCTGTGAAGGGCTGGAGCAACTGATACTCTCCAGAGAAACCCATGAGATAAGAACTGAGCCTAGCAAGCATGTGATTGTGATACAGTTCAAGCCCGTGTGTGTATCACTCAGCTTGTTCTATGAAGATTTGAGAAGCATGTCGCTACGTAAATCCCTCTGGGCAGCTGGGCTCCCCTCCAGCACACAGATTTCCCCTGCTGCTAATGAATCAGCCTCTTTTGCTCACTTACCTCCAAAGCTCGTTTACTTGGAAACCGAGGGAGCTTAGGGAACAGGGCTCTCTCCATGCATAACAATGACCTATTTGAGATACTTCTCCTCACGAGGTAACGGAGAAGGGGCAGCAAAAGAGCGCCTCTATCCAAAAGGCATTTGCTGGAATCAGTCCTAAACAATGCCAGCCATTTCCATTTTGAGAGCTGACATTTCATGGTGCCAGTGCCATCAGACAACAGAAAATGCCAGGGTGAGCCAGGGATGGGATCCAGCTGTTTTATTTTAAGGATACACAGCCAGGCCCGCTGCACACGTGGGTATTATTGTCCAAACAGCCCCCTTCCCACAGAAACTAGTAACCCAGAATGGAAATGCTCCACAGCACTCCCAGAGCAGCATGGCAGGGGGGCCAAGGGCATGTTTCACACATCTGGGTGTGTTTACATCACTGGGCTCTCTCAAGTATCATGAGTAAAAACACAGAAATGCATTAGGGAGTCTGTCCTTCCTCACCCAGCTCCATGCTGAATTAGCAGCACAGCTCACAGGACTGCAGGAAAGATGCACCTGGTGGCCCCACAGGAAATGCTTGGGAAGAGGAAATGAATGTTTCATGTGCCATCTTGCCTCCGAGATGTGGGCTACTGCCCAAGCTTGGGAAGAATTAAAGCACTTTGTGATTTTCCCACAGTTCGTGCCCCTGAAGCAAAATGGGAGGAAACAGATTATAATGTATTAATTATGTATTTTGTTTAACTCAAACCTCACCAATCTGATTAAAAGGCTCAGATTCCAGACTGGAACCCTGTGGTTTCAGCACATCCATGGTTGCATCCTGCAAGGCAAGAGAGGACCCTTGTCCTGTGTGACTCAAAGCCCACAACACGTCTTTAGATTAGCTCCTGGTTGAAGTGGAGCTTTTCTGTTAGAAATTCTGTCAGAATGTCTTTATGAGGCTTAATTCTACCCATTTCATTTCAGCCCCTGAAAGTAGTTACAACTTTATGACGATACAATCTCATATCCAAGCTGCATTTCCAAGCTGCCCTTTCCCTTCTTGTCATTCTCCTCAAGTCCCTCACATTAGGACAAGCAAACTAGCTTCCACTCACTTGTGAGGGTCTCCCCAAAACTTCCTACTTAACTTTCCAAATAGTGTGCAAAACCACAGAGCCCAGTATTGGCCAACAGTGCTGAATCCAGAAAGAACCAAACTATCTGCCCTATGGCATCACTTTTTTTTTTTTTTTTTTTTTTTTTTGTCAAACCAGTGACCATTTAGCCCTGCTAGACCTTTAAAGACAGGCACACTGGCCCATGGATTTTCATGCCTGAAGTGCTGGTTGTTTGCCTGTGCAGCAGGAGGCTGTTAGTGTGTCACTTCAGCCCATCAGCAATAGATCTCTGCCTGTAACCTGTCAGCCTAACTGGATTAATTTGAAGGGATCTGTTTTTTCCCAAATAAATGTTCTCTGGTGTTAATTACCCAGTTATTTTCATTCATGAGTCACCTCTGAGCTCTTCCATTATTTTGACTAATAACACTGTCACAAGCAGTGACACACAGCACAGCCTTTTTTCCATTCTCCTGGAACATACCTGTGCCTTGCTGCCTCTGCAGGGTACATTTCTCACCACCACCAACAGCTCAGGCTACTGAGTAAGAGGGAGAGAAAAAAAAAAAATCAGTGTTTTCACAGAATCACAGTTGGAAGGAATTATTAAGATCATCTATTTCCAACATCCTTGCCATGGGCAGAGTTTTTCTCTGGTTACCAACAGGCAGTTACTCAGTCTGCTTCATCTCCCAAGTTTACTCATGACTACATCAAATATGCTCTTTCAGCTAATGCTATTTTTGGTATTAAAAAGGGAGTCATCTTCCTGACCCCTGAAAATTCAGTAAGGTATCATGATGAATAATTATTCTTAGTCATCTCAGCATGTTTAATTTAGCATAACTGCACCTTTACTAAGAAACAAGATGGCTGGATTTATGCTAAGCCCTACAATTAGTTCCCTGTGGCTCACACCAGAGTATGAGGTGAAAGCTGTACTCAGTATTTCTCCATTTCCCAGTTTGCACTGATCCTTCAAGATACCTTGCAAAACCATTCAAGAACACTTACACATGCACAGCCCTGGTATAGGACACAGCCTCATAATAGTTTTTTAAGGTGCCTGAGTATGATGGAGGTGACAGTAGGAAATCTTTCTGCTGGGATGCAGCAGCTCCAAATGTAGGTAACAAGAGTATAATTTCTTCCATTCAGTTCTGCCTGGAACTGATACTCAAAGTAAGCCAGTGATCCTTCTACTCTTTTTTTTTTTTTTTTTTTTTTTTTTTTTATAGCTCTTAAAATAAACCATCTTTCAAAACCACTCAGTTTTGCTGAAACTTGGATACTATTGAATGTTTTTGGAGCTGTGTCACTGCCCCCAAGGAAGATGAACAAAGCAACCTTTCCCTACAGACAAATGCCTCTTGCTTAAGAGGAATTAAATATAGACACTTATTCCTTAGGGCAAAGCTGTACTGAAATGAATATTATTAAGTGACTTAAAAAATATCATTTTGAATGTTCTGGTTTGTCAGGATATTTCCTCAGGAAACAGTTTCATTCTTACCTTTTGCTGATCTCTGTTATGAATTGTTGCCTTTGATTTCTTAGCTGTTTGCTGCTGCAAATAGCAACAAACTTTCCTCTCTGAACTCTTTCCAGAAAAGCTGAAGCTTTCTTGAGAAAGGATCTGGGAAGACCAAACAATATTGTTTAGCAAAACAAAATGTGCACTCAGAGTGTCCCAAGGATCACTGTAAGAAATGGCCTCAAGCTTGGCAGTCTTAGCAGAAAACTCAGGGCATAAAGAGGACTAAGAAGTCTGAGTGTGGGCACATTCATTACCAAAAATAGACTTCTAAAAGCATAGTTAGAGGATTTCAGGAACACCTTTTCAAAGGAATTGTCTAACAAGGTGGGTGCATTTTGTGTACCCTGTCTCAAGACTTGCACATAGTTATTATGCAAATGTATACTAATCCCCAGATATCTCAATACAAAACTCCCACAGGACAGCATTTGGACCTTTTGGGAGCCATGGGGGGCACCAAGGTCTGGGCACACACCTCTGCCAACCCTCAGACTGTGCCCTTTGCTCAGCCAGCCCTTGGTCACTGGGGCCCAGAGTCCTGCCCCTGTCATGGAACAGACACACACAAATGTCACAGATCCCCTTCTAGGAGCAGGACCTGCCTGTGGCTTGGGTGGCAGGGAAGACATTTTAGCAGCATGAAAATAACAGAGTCAGGTTTCCTCCAAGGATCCTTGAGCAATTTACGAGCTTCCTCGGGAAGATTTATTTAAGTGGTATTCTGAGAGCTGATAAATGTAACATAAATTTGGAAAAGAAAACAGATACAGAATTTTCTCACATTAAAGGACACCTCACTGTGACTAGTAGTAATAGCTGATGCTGCTATAATTAGGCACAAAAATGCAGATTAAGGAACCCAGGCTCAGTCCCCTTCAAAGTGCAAACACTGAGGGTGTCTCCCCATCAGTTACCATGCACTCACACGGTGCTTCCCTGCCTGCACACCTGAAAACTCTTGCTCATGGTATCATTTATTTGTGCCACCCCTAATCTAACAAACTCTCCTCACTGAAAACCAATAGCAACAACATTTCCAGTTCTGTTTCAGTCACGACTTTTCTCCTTTTTCTCCCAAACACCAAGCAAATGCCAGTTTCTCCTCCCCATCGATGTGCTCTCCACGGGCAGGACAAAGGGATGTTGCTCATCCTTGGCCACTGCAGCCCTGTTCAGACCATGTCACCCCCATGCAGAGAGAAATTAGGGGGAAAACTTGTGTCCCTGCCCTGCAGCTGGGCTGCAGCATGTCAGCCTGCTCATGGATTTAGTATGTTTGCAGCTGCCTTTACTCAGCTCTGCAGCAGAGGCTGATCAGGCTCACTGGGGCTGTGCCAGGCTCTCCTGAAAGAAAAAAAAAGACAAGGGAAAAGGTATTTATTTATAACCAGCTTGTGAGATGGAAAAGTGGTTTCTATATTTAATAGAAAGTGTTCCCAGCTGATTAACCCTGGTAGTATTAGGTTTGGGGACTTGTTTGGTTCTATTTGAGCATTAGCTACTATACTTATCATATTTCCAGTCCCAGTCCCATAGCATAATTGTTTACTGCTTAGAGAGGGAATAGTTTATTCTCAATCTGTCAGAAGATCCAGACTTAGAATTGTACTGTCAAGAGGAAAGGAAGACAGTAATTTTCAAGGTTTTTCTGGGTTATTATTCTGTACTTGAAAAAGAGAATTGGTGTTTGAATGAGTGCTTTGTGCTGCAGCCATCAGTACCACATTAGCCCCTGTCCTGTAATCTTGTAGTAAGATCACTTCTGCCTTTTGAGGCCAAATTCAAGGGCATGCTCCCACCTAAACAGCAAGTTTAGAAACACTGCATAAGATCAAAGGAGATGTGAGCAGGTATTTCTCCATGCCTCCATGCAGTGAGGTGATGCAGCAGCTGCAGTGCCCATGTGCAGAACACAGCTGGATGCGGGCAGACCCTCACCCACAGATGCTTCTGGAGCTGCCCTGCCAACATCTCACAGCCCTCTGCAATCAGTCTCCTGCCACCATAGCACAGAGGCAAAAGACACTTGAGAAAGGCTGTCAAACATGGGTGCAAACTGAAGGAAAGAAGTTCCTTACAAAGATAATCTCTGAGTTCCAGCATGGGTAGATTACATTCTTCAAATTTGCATCACCATTTCTTTTTCAAAGGTATGCAGTGCATGATCTCTCTACCCTGCTGTGAACTGCCGTGCCAGGCTGTGAAAAAAGCCCTGCTGTAACATTCAGTCCCAGACATGGGTACATTCCAGGAGCAGAGACACTATTTCTGTGCCTTTCATTCTACCCTGTCCAGCTGAGCTTGTTTTGAAACTGACTTTCTATTTGACTGAGAGACTTTGGAGATACTTGGCTAAAGCATTCACATAGATCTCTCTTTCCAGCTTAGGCTGCATTTCTCTTGTGGTGCATTAAGGGAACTCAGACACAAGGAGCTCTAATTAAATCACACAAAGCTACAGATGTATCTGGAGAAGACTCCAAGGACAAAAAGACTCTGTAACCTCTAGATTGTATCACTTTTATTATTCTCTCACCTCTTCTCCCTAATAATGAGGAACATTTTTCCAGACTCAGACTCTAATCTGGAGTGTTCATATACTCGACCATGCAGAGAGATCTCATCCTGGTACGGCAAGCCCAGATACTCTGTCAAAGTAGCTTAGAATTCTGATTGAATGCAAGTGTCTATGTAATCACCAGAGACAAATATAATACTAGGAAATCTTGGGTTTTTTCCTTTCATTTGCAGCCTGGGCAAAGGGAAAAGGTCTCATGCTCTTGCTTGTGTGCCACCACTCATTTGGTGCAGGGAGATTCTCAGTTCCTGAATGCAAGAAGTGCATGGTCAGAGAGGGTGTACAACCCACATGCTGCCTCCTGGTCTCATACCAGCATGCTGGGAGCAGCCATCACATGCCTTGGCTTCTCAAGAACCTGTACCTACAATATTACTCAATCCCCTACACACTCCTGGCCATAGGGAGAGCCATTGCTTGCCTTTATCAGCAGTGAGAGGTTTCTATTAAATGCAGAGCCCTTCTGATCAGAAACAATGAGCAGCCATAGCACATGATATATGCTAAGTAGCTCTTCAATCTGTTTACCAAAAGCTTGGATATGATTCTGAAGGATTCTGGCAGTGCTGGGCACTTCAGAGGCAGCACAGCCCAGCTGTTGAAAAAGCAGCTTTGGAGGAGGCAAAGCAAAACTTGCATCAGCATGTGCTGCTGGTTTGAGCAGCATTTTAGCCTCCTGTTCTCAGTCTTCTCATGTCTGCTACCAGGATAATTACAGTTAACAACTGAGCACAGTCTGTGGTACAGCTTCCTTAAACATTTGGGTGATAAAAGCTGCCCACAACATTTATGGATTTTCATTCCATTAGCAGTTAGCTTCTGCCACAAATAGGACCCAAAGCAGCTTTGATATCTTAAGACAAGATCTATTTATGTCTCTGTGTGCTAAGCAAAATAACCCAGAGTCCTTGAAATGACAGACAAACAGGTTTCTCAGTGTGGAGAGCCAAGCTGCTGAGGAGAACCAATCTGCTGAGCACCATGTGTTTAATGTTCTGCTGTGCCTCAGGAGACACTCACTGGTGAATGGACCCTGCCTTGCCCTGCCTGGAAGCTCTGACCTGGCAGCAAAGTGCTTTGGAGTAATGGGAGCCCTAGGAATGTGAGCCCTGAGCTTCCCATATTTGTGGGGTGTTTGGAGCCTGTGGCAGCACTGTCAGCAGGACATTACATCCCATGACCTGCCCTGCAATAATAAGTCTGAATGGATGGTGGCATTAAGAACTGGGGGTAAATGTTTTGCAGTGTGCACTCCAGGATGAAGGTAATAATTTAATGAGCTTTTGAAGAATTTGCACCCTTCCAGCGAGCTCTGCCTGTGAATGAGCTTCAAAACAACTTCCTTCCCATCTATAACACCAAGGGGCTATCACTCTAACTGAACAAATACCACATCACAAGGACCAGGGAGAGTCTGGTGTACAGGTGCAAAAAGGACCTTGCTGAAGCTCTCCTTTACTTTTCAAATTGCTCCATCATTAAATATTCATTAACTTGGAAGAGCCCTCAAAGTCACTTGCAGTTTTTCCAAGGAAAGTGACTTAAAAAAAGGTAAATGTTCCAACCTTCCACAAACAGAGCACTTCCTAAAACATCTCTTTAACACTACAGACAGTCACATCTTCTCACTGTCAAAATCTGGTTATGTCTGCAGATGTACTGCAACCTCCCTTCTCCCTTGTCCACTTCAACATCCTTTGGGATATTTTGCTTTATTTGGTTGATCATTAATACATTAGTTTAATTACCTATGTTGAAATGCTAACAAGCACCCACAAAGACATGGTAAATTTGGCTTCAGCTTAGGAAGAGCTTTCAGACTACTGAGATAATGAAGCATTGGGTCAGCAGGTCTCCAATAATTGACATCTTTACAGGCATAAACATCTGTGCACAGGTAACTGCAGCAGAGGATAGATGAGAAGGCTTTTAGAGTTGCCTTCCCACTGCACAGTTTGGCAATTAGCTATGATAAACATCAACTACCCACTTTCTGAAGGTAATGAAGTGTAAGCAACTAGAGGTACATCCTTTGGTATTTTATAAATTGCAGTTAAATGTGTCTCATTCTCAGACACTCAACTGAGTTGCTCTGGTTTACTCAGCTACTGCACGTCAGCTGAGCTACATAAATCTTTGCTTTTCATAGATAAGGGGGGAAATGTAAGCCCTGAGAACTGTTAACCCAGATGAGTAATGCCTAAACCTCTGACTGAATATGTCAAAATTGGAACAGGCTGGATCATACCCATTAAACATTAAGAAGGCTAAGGAGCCAGGGAGCAAATCATCAAATCCATCTTAAACACATCTCTTCAGATAGGACCCAGTAAAAGTGGTCATTGTTCTCTGCTGGCTACAGAAGGAATCTGCCTTAAACACTGGATTTTAAAGTAAACAGACAACATGAGTCTTGGAAGAAATCTTCATCAATAAACACAGCCTAGTAACACTGCCCACCTCTGCTTGTACATGGGTGTGCTGGTTTTAGTTACACAAGGACAAGGGGGAAGGCTTTTTGCTCAGACTACAGTGAACACAAGATCCAAGTGGCTTCAGGGCTCA